CATGAGTCATCGGCCCATGACTGGATTTTTGTAAGGTATACAAATACCAAGTGAAATGGCGTGAAAATGCCTCGAGTGACGATGCATCTATATTTACCGAGGGACCGACCACGCGGAACGTTGCGGTGGACGACTGTCGCAGGACACGGTCGACGAAGCAACGAACCAAGGTATCTGTCTCCAGGTGCACCTGATACAGAGCTTGCGACGATGTCGATGACGACGCCGACCGATACATCCGCGTATGATGCGATGGTGGAAGACTTGATTCCGAATCCGTCCGACCCGAATGCCGTTCGCCTCGAGGACTTTTCGCTGATCCGTGTGATCGGAAAGGGGTCGTTCGGAAAGGTGACGCTCGTGCGCAAGCGCGACAACTCCAAGGTGTTTGCGATGAAGATCCTGAGTAAAGCGTACATCGTGAAGCGGAACCAAGTCGAGCACACGCGCACGGAGCGACGGGTTCTGGCCGTCGTGTCGCACCCGTTCATCGTGAGTTTGCACTATGCATTTCAGACCAAGGACAAGCTGTACTTTGTGCTGGACTATTGTCCGGGCGGCGAACTGTTTTTCCACTTGACGCGGCTTGGCAAGTTCACGGAGGAAATGGCGCGGTTCTACACGGCGGAACTGGTCGTTGCCCTCGAACACTTGCACTCGCTCGGCGTCATCTACCGCGATCTCAAACCGGAAAACATCTTGCTGGACGAGATGGGGCACGTCAAGCTCGCCGACTTTGGACTGGCCAAGACGGAAGTCACAGAAGTCGCGAGCGGCGCGAACTCGTTGGTCGGGACGCCCGAATACCTGGCGCCGGAAGTGCTGGCCCGCACTGGCCACGGCACCGCCGTCGACTGGTGGGGCCTCGGCATGGTCTTATTTGAGATGCTCACGGGAATGCCGCCGTGGTACACACGGAATCGTCAAGACTTGTATGCCCGGATCCGCGACGCGCCGTTAGAGATTCCGCATTACTTGAGCCCAGACGCTGCGTCGCTCATTCGGTCGTTGCTGCATCGAGACCCGGAGAAGCGGCTGGGCGGCCGGAAAGGCCACGGCGCGGTGCAAGTGAAAGCGCATCCGTTTTTCCGCACCGTGGACTGGGATGGTCTCCTATGGGCCGAGCCGCCATTTCGACCGAGCGACCCACAAGCCAAGGACGACGGTGACACGTCCAACTTTGAAAAAGAATTTACCGAAATGCCCGTGCACACCCCCGTGAGCCTCCACCGCCACGGCATGGCTGGCACCGGGTCGTCGCAAAACATCCCGCCCTCCATGTTCAACGGCTTCACGTACGAAGCGCCGTCCGTGTCGCTCGGGTCCAACACGTCGCAGTGCCAGGTCGACGCCGCCACCACGCAACCCTTCATCTAGCGACACACGAGCGAGCAACGGAGCGGCGTCGCTGCACCACCCGTCGTTTCGGGCGGCACTTGCGGCGGTGTCTCTGCAGCTAGGCGGCGATGGCCATATTATTAATTCACATCCAGATGCAAGTGTGCCGTCGAGCCAAGAAAACATTCGTCAGAGAGAAGGGGGGGCACTATTTACAGCCGCGACAGCCACTCGTTCTACTGACGGTCTCGGATGCTGCAGCTCGTAGCTGCGGCGACCGGACTACACGAGCGACTCGATGTAGGTCGTCACAGCAGTGCAGATGGCGTGCAGTCGGCGAAACCCACGGGGCACGGCTTCAATTCGCCGAACCAACTCGTCCACATCCACCTACACCACACAACACACGGTCAGGTCCGTGCTGCCATTCCAGCCACCGAGACATGCGCCATGGTCATTCTAAATCGATGGATATGTACCGAGCTCCCACGGCATGATTCGGACGTACCTTGGCCGCGCCGAGCTCGACAGTCACGGTGGGCTGGATGGACCGGGAAAAGTAAAAATGCGAAGTCAGGGGAAGGCCGACGCGAAGCGTGACGAGGCTCTGAAACGAGACGAACGCGATCCGAATCTGCCGCGCCGCCAAGTCGGTCGCGACGGCGTACTGCAGCACAACTTGCTCCACGTCGTTCCACAGCCGCATGGACCGCATCACGTCCACTTCGGCCCACTGGAGAAACGTCGACACTCCCTGAGGTTGGCTCACCGTCGTGGCGCCGACTGCTTCCAGGCGCGATGGATCCAGCAACGTCACTCGAACCAGCGCAGCAATGTCGTAAAAGATCGACGGCTGCTTGCGTGCGACGATAGGGGCCACATTCACGTCGACAGGTTTGTCGCGGGTCGTGCCTGCTTGTGCCAAGTCGATTTTCACGCGGACCGTGATCCCGTCCATGTAGTTGAGCGACTTGATTGTTAAATGAAGCTCCAGCGCGGCGGCCGAGACCGTCGAGGGCGCCCACTTTGACAGTCTCGACGCGATGTGGTACAGGTCTTCGCGCTCTTGGACGAGGTGTATCCTTTCGTTCAACTTTTGGTTTGACACGGCGGCACTTGTCTCATCGAGCTTCATGCGATGCAGCGCAATGTCGTGGTCGTGCTGCACCAATGTGAGCTGTAGCGTCTCAAGTTCGTTTTCCAATTTCGCGATGCGACTTGCCGCTTCGGCGCGAAGGGTTTGGTGCTCTTGGATCCATTCCAGGGATCGCTCCATGTCCAGTTCTTTGGCCATGAGCTTCTGGACTGCGGCGCGCTCGTGCGCTTCGTCGCGACCGATGCGGAGACGTTGCAGCGCGGCCAGGTCAGCTTCGACGGCCGTGAGAGCTGTTGACCAGTGCGTCGGCGACTCCATCCGCTTTCGCCACGCATACCATCCTGCCAACACCGAGTGCAAGTGGGCTTCGTACAGCGCCAGCACCTCATCTTGAGGCACCGCGTTCGACTGCACGAGCTTTGCCAAGTAGGATGGAATCGCCTTGGTTACAGCTCGGTCGCGTTCCACCGACATTTCCGATAACCATGTCGAGAGTTCGTCCATGGCTTGGGTCCACCGATCTTTGTGTTGCAGCACGGGCGTCACGACCAAGAGCTTGGAGCACGCGACGATTTCGCTTTGCACTGTTCTCTCGACAGGATCGAGGGACAACGCGGCAAGGAATTCCGCAAACGTGACAAGGGGCGACGACGGCACTGCAGGGACGTCGGCGATCTGCTCGGCAGGGGACGCTGGCATCGTCGCAGGTTTGGTCGGGGATTGCGGCGGATCAAGTGACGGTGAGCCCAGCGACAGATCGACGGCCGTCGCTGTCGGCGATGATGCAACGGCATCTATCGCATCGATGGATGATGTTGGCCGACTAGACGCTTCTTCGAGGGACATGGACGAAGGAGAGGTGGGCGCCCGTGGTGATGGATTCTGTTTTTTCTTTTTGCCCGACGATCCCATCTTGTCAAACTTGCCGCCCAAGTTGATGACGAGTGATTCACGTTGCGCGTCGTAGTTGGGGTCGTCGGGACCATCGTCGTCGTCATCGTCGTCACTCAGACTGAGGTGGCTGAGCAAACTGCTGCGCGAGGACCCACCTTCTTCGCCCTCGGCAATCGGATGCAGCGATGTCTGGACTTCCGACACGAAGTGGGTCGTGGCCGACACCGCCGTAGTCGTTGAAGCCATACTTGTGTGCTTGATCGCGAACAAACTTGCGTCCCCTTGGAGGTGGCCCACCGGCCCCAGCTCGAGAGTTTGATCCTCGTCATCGTCCGAGCTTTCAACGGTTAACTGGGCGGTCTTTGGGGGGGTGTAGTTATCATTCCATAAGTCCCCAAGGCCATTCGAGAGGTCGGGGGCGGTGGCTTTGGACGATGGTGGTCCACTCGCCACGTTCGAGTAATCGCCAGTGATGTCCATGTCATCCGACGACGACGACTCGATCGAGGTCGTGGCTACACCATGCACGAAAACGGTGAGCCGCCTCGATCAGCTGCGTCAGCCACAAACCGAGCAGGAATCGTACCTCGTCGAGGCTTCTTCTTCGCACTGCCGATCACCAACGAGTCGCTGCTTTGCATAACGTTCACGCCCAAGAGCGACTGCCGCCGGGACGGTTTGAGCGCCGATGACGGGAGGTGGGGAGGGGGCAGGCCGCTTACTCCGATCGACGCGCGGCGTTGGCTGCATCGTCGAACAACACACACACGTACGTTTCCGTCAGGAGTTTGTACGCACACGACGTGCATCTCGAGACGTACCGTCGGGCGTCGGCCATGGCGTCCAGGGGACTCAACCCCTTGATGCCGCCGTTGCTGGCGCGGCTTCGCTTGCGCGTCGGGCTACGAATACTTCCAAACGGAAACGACAAGCTCTGGTTCTCGTCATCGCTCTCGTCTTTGTCCATCAAGTGATCCGCTTCGTCCAAGATGCTCGTGTTCTCCGACGTGACTTCGTCCTCGTCGCTGTCCATCTTGTCTAGGGGAAACATTTCCTTGGTCCGCTGCGCACACATCGGAGTCATCGACGTCGACGGGTCGTTCCGGCGAAACTCGGCGCCGCGTGGGGACCCAAACACGACCGATTTGGTCGGTGTGGGGTCGTCGGCTTTCTTCGGGACGGCCATTTTCCGCGCACTCAGGCAGCTCTTCAGCGGCGTCTACCAAGTGCTCGTCTCAAACAAAGAGCCCACACAACACACGCCGATTGCTTGACCCAGCAACGAGGGCGGCAGTGGTTTCGCCGCTCGCAAAGGAGTCTCTCGTGGGGATGGACCGCCGCGGGGCAGACAAATTCGTAGACAGAATGGAGTGTGCAGTACGTACGGGTTGGTTCCGCCGCATGGGAGGAGAAAAGAGGGACGGGTGGGGGCCTGGCTTTGTCACAACTTGGCCTTGGTGGTTCCTCGCGGCCGCAACCGGTGGGGCGACTGATGGTAGGTTCGCTGGCTTGGACGTCGTCACTACCGACAGCCGATTGCGTTCTAATCGAGCACACATGGTGTTTAGAATCGTACATTCGGCGGTCAGATACCGTTGATAGCAGCATCTTGTGGTGCGCTGTGTGTGCCTTGACGCCGTTCTCCATCGGTTGTCTCGACTCGAAACGACCCGAGCACTTGGTTCTCGTCGTCGCTGCTATCGTGGTTGTCCATTGGAAGCGCCATCAAGTCGGCCGGGTTGACGGTATCCCTTGTGGTCGCGGCCGCCGACTCGGCAGCTTTCGTTGCAACGTCGTTGTGCTCGTGAGGTGGTTTGTCTGCAGGGGCGACTGCTGTGGTAGGGTCGTGGGTGAACGATGTGCCGCCTTGCAGCACCGCCAAGGCTTCCAGTGGGTCGAGTGTTTCTCGGCGGCCTGTCGCTGGCACGAGCAATGAGTCACGACCTGTAAAAATGCCTGCCACTTCTGCTGGATCCAAAGTGGATCGCCGCGACACGTGATCTTCTGGACGACTTGCACTGAGAGAGCTTTTGTTTGTTGGACTTGTCAGGGACTTGTCCCAAGAATTGGAACGAAGTTCATCCGAGACTGCATGCTTCATGTCGTGGTACGATGCCGACGAACGCGCTCTCCTCTCACTGGCGGATGTCGAGCGTGCATTGCTCTCCAAGCTATCTTTTTCGTCGTCGTCCATGCCGTCAACGCGGTCGCTTTCTTGGGATGACTCGTCGAGGACGAGGTTCTGGATGCCTTGTAACCCATCAGGAGAGAGTGTGTCCCTTCTGCCAGGCCCAGCATGGCTTTCAGATTCCAACGGAACGCGGTCTGGAGATATCGTTTCGCGTCGGTGAGCTCTCGCGGTAGTGGTGTTGGCCTTGGCAGGCGCGACTTTCTCGGGCGTGGGAGGTTTGGGAGAGAACAGATCTAACGAGGACGGTGGGGCCGTCGAAGACGGGATAGGACTGGACGGTTGAAGGTCCAGCGGTATCGAGACACTCGTGGATACGCTGATTTCACGCTCAAACTCGTGTGCGATCGAAAACCCGCGCTTCTTCACCTTGGCTTTCTGTGTGTTCGTGCTGAGGAAATTCGATTTCTCCGACACTTCCGTCGCCGCAGATGCATTGAGAGGTACACCTGTGTCTGTGGTCACATGCGCCTTTCGTTGTCGCTTTTGCACGCGATATGGTCCGTCGTCTCGTGCCTCGACGTCAACGTCGTCCGTCAACAACAACGTCGACGAATTGTTGTGGATGACGTCTGTTGCCGGCTTGACGCCAGTCGTGGGTGACGTGACGTCGTTGTCTTCATCGGTCTGCATGTTCGTATCAAAAGTATTCACCGACAAGAGGCCGCTGTGTCCGTCCGCGTATGCCGCTTGTCCTGCCTCCGCCGCCCTCGTTGGGGTGGCGAATTTTTCAACTTTTTGAACACGCATGTGTTCATTATCCGGACTTTTATCCGGATTATCGCCCAATTTCGCGCCATTGCCGATTTTTTCATAAAATATGCGAAATTGTAAAAACGTCCATTTTCAAATCTAAACCCCACTGTAGTCTTCAAGTGCATGGCCTGGACCATTCGTGACGACGGCACGAGGGTAACTTTGTGATGATCAGGATGGCATTTGAAGGGCCTGGCAAATCCTGCCGCCGTACCGATACCTCACCAGCTGCGATGCGCTGGTCGGCGTTTTTTGTTTATCAAGAAATTCTACGGCATTTCGTCGTTGAGCGGGACCCACGCACTCTGGGAATTGCATATACTACTGTGGCTCGCATTTTCGTTTGGAGCTCGTGCAACCTGACAAACTCGCGACCTTTCTTCGCAGCGACGAGCGCTCCGTGTCCTTTTAGGCTCGGTGTGGCTATAGGTCGTATCAACTGAACGTCGAGAGAAGGACAATGCGGCCGTTGCGACGGTAATGACATCGGAAAATCATCGTACACACAATGCCTGTGCCTGCATGGGCCTTTTTGGAATCCCAGTGGCGGCGCGTGGGACGACCGCTAGTCCAATGAGCCACAAAATCGGCTTCAGCAAGTTTCGCCGTCCCGCTCATTGCATGTAGTTGTCTCTGGGCCACAAAGCATTGCTGGCGATGCCACAACGCATACATGCCTCGTCAGGGCCATATTGCACTGGGCCCATCAGCACACAAATTTTCCAACAATTCATATATATAAATGATTCATCTAACTGACGGTCGTCAAAAGTATAGTTCGTCGATTCGGTATATACTCGAAACTCATCAAAAACGTAAATATTCGATATTTTGTGCATTTTTGAAACGTCGCGAACGCGATATCTTCGAAGGTTCGGCGATTCCATCGGGAGCAACCCTCGTCGACTCGATTGCTTGTCAGCGCCACCCCCCACCTCCATTCGCAAACGCACGGCATTAGCTTCATGGACCATGGCCCGACCGTTGTCGGCGGTGCCAAACACAACAACAACGAGGGGCTCGTGTTGGACACAACGTTCTTGACGGGGTCGAACGCGCTTGGGATGTGGATCACGATCACCGCAGGCATATGCTCCAACCTCGGCGTGCAGTTGCAAAAGCATGCACATCAACGCCAAGCACGCGCGGCCCAACATGTCAAGGAGAACTCGTCGACATCAGTGTACTTTGTCCACAAGCATTGGATTCTAGGGATGGTACTCGTCGTGATCGGGTCGATCGGGGACTTCGAAGCGTTGAGGTATTGATGCAATCGACCCACGATCGCCAACAACGACAACGGCGTGCGCTTCATCGTGCTGATGGATCGTTGTAGCTTTGCTACGCAGTCCCTCGTCGCGACCGTCGGCGGTGGCACGACCGTCCTCACGAACGTCTTCTTTTCGACGATCTGGCATGGCGAGACCTTCACCTTGCGCGATGCGTACGGAACATGTTGCATCCTTCTCGGCGTCACGTTGATCGCTCTGTGCTCTCCCGAAGACGAACAATACAATGTCGAACAGGTAGTCTGCCGTTCGTTCGATCGGACCACGAATTCAAGTGTGTTGCGGCAGCTCGTGGTCAAGTTTCAACGCCCGTCGGTCCTGGCGTACTTGGCGTTTGTCGCGGCCGCCATCTACTTTATGCACTCCATCATCCGTAGCGGCGACGTCCACGCCGCCATTCCCGTCGGTCCTTCCACCCCATGCTCCGAATTTTTGCCGCCACGACCTCATCGCAACCAACCGTAGACGTCGTTGGGAACCAGCGCACGGGTACGTCGGTTCCTGCACATGGACCAAGCAAGCGGTCAGGTGTGCGTGCAGCCGCTCTTGTACGCGATTGTAAGCATGTCGTTGAGGCGGCCAACCTTGACGAACGTGGGCACGTGACGTAGAATTCTGGGATCATGGGGTCGCTGTCGATGCTCCTGGGCAAGGTACAGCGAGCGATGCAGCACCGTCGCCGCCGCTCTGTCTCGACATGGATCGTCACGTTTCAAACGGACGGTGCTTCTAGTGCGCGTCCGAGATGGTCACAACGACGTTGCACGGCCGCAACCAGTTCAACCACCCGCTCCCGTTCATCTTTTTCGCCGGCATGGCCGCCACGATTGGCGTGCAAGTCCACTGGTTCAACCAGTCGCTCATGCTGGGCGACATGGCGATGGTGTTTCCCGTGTTTCAAGTGTTTTGGATCGGGGTGCGGGTCGCGTCCATGGCCCCATGGCATGTCATCCATCCGTTGTAGTTTGGCGCGGTCGGCGGCATGGTGCTGTACGGGGACGTCGCGCGGCTGGCGTTCTTTCAAAGCGTGTCGTTTGTGCTCGCGTTCTGGTGTACGTACCAACCATCGACCGCCGTGGCGTCGCTCACGGTGCATGCGGCGCAGGCATCTTGATTGGAGTGTACAATTTGGCCCAGCATGCAGCGCCGCCGGCCATGCCGGTGGCACACACGCCAGGCGATTCGTTTCGGCCACTACGCGATGCCAGCCCATATCTCGTGGACGCGTACCAAACCCTCCTCGAGAACGACGTACGAGGCATCCCATTGTTGTGTGTGTGTGTCCAGCCGTCGACGCAATGTCTGCCGACGGCCGCCGCCGCTCATCCTGCTGACGTAGGACGGCCGCCATGGTGACAGCGCGACGGCAGCCCACGACAGGCCAAGCACCTACCGCCCCCCCGCGCTTCTCCGCACGCTGTAGAAAACATTGTTAACGGACTTTACTAGTCGTCCCATCCATCGTCGTCGTCATCGTCGTCATCGTCGGGATGGACAGCAGCGCCTTGATGGTGCAGCGTCGGTTGCGCCGCGAGTGCATGCAGTCGCTGAATCTGTTGATCGCGAACGGCGCGTGCGTGGTCTTCGCGGTCCTTTTGCGCTTGAAACTCGATCACGTTGGGCACAGCAACGACCACGTCCTGTTCGCGTGCCGACAGCAGCGGCATGCCTGCGCCACACGCATCAATGTCGCTGTTGTGTGACGTGCATGCCGCGAGACAGTACCAGATCGATTCAGCGACTCGGTCGACGGCGCGCGGTCGTGGCCTCGAAACCACGCGTCCGGCGACACCCCCGTCGAGTACGTGCGCACGACGCCGTAAATGTCATCTTGAAAAAATGGCTTGAGTTTGTCCGCGCGGGGCACCGACAACGTCACGGGCTCGATCGTTGCCTTGGTCAGCAAGAGAAACTTGGCGACTTCGACGTCCTACGACGTCAGGCACAATTACACTCGACAGGAGCGTGATGTGGATAGCCCAGTCGAGAGAATTGGAGACACATGTGCGCGTACGCGGACGTTGCACGATTGTTTGGGCAAGAGCGCGGCGCCGGCAATCGGCGCGCCGGTGAATGCAAACGGAGCGCATGGTGCGACGGTCCCAGCCTACGTGGTGAAAACAACCCGTGCAACGAGTCAACGTGAGCGCGCATGGCATTCCAAAGAAATGACACACGTCGACTCGATCAGCCACGCAATCGCCGACCAGCGCGACGATGGCGGCGCACGCACGCGCAACAGAGTGAATCGGTTGGGCCGTACCGCGGCATCGATCTCGTACGTCATGACGGTGCGGTCGCCGCGACTGACGAGGTAGATCACGTTGGCCGATTCGTCGTAAAACGGCAGGAGCGCGCTTCCCGACGTGTCGCTGCCGAAACAACGTCGTCAGCGCCATCACGTCGCCACCGACCGCTCCTGTCACGTACAGCGTGGTTTGGCACACTGGGTCCAGCAGATTCCGCGCATCCCACAAAAACACTTGGCGCTCGCTGCGCGCAGTGAACCCGACCTAGTAGCAAACCCATCCCCGTTGTCGCAGACATGCCGACAATGGGACCACATACCGTGACGAGCGTCGACGACGAGAGATGTTGTGCGCACCAGAGCACTTTTTGCGCCTTGGCTCCTATGAATATAAACAACATGGCATCACCGTCATCATGAATGCGCTGCCGCCACAAACGCGCTGCCCAAGCGTTCGCAAGCGCACTGTACCGTCATGAGCGCATGCCATGGCGGCGGTTCTGTTGGCGCGTGGGTCGATAACGCGCAGGACCTAGCCGAACGCGACACCATCAGCACCGCTACCTCCTATCCCGTTTCCAAGCGGCCTACACACACCTTGTCTCGTGAAATTGTCGCGAGCAAAGTCCCGTCAAAGTTGAACGACACGTTCCACGGAGCGTCGTCAAACTTTTGAATCACTTGACGCGCCGTTTGCGCGCCGACGTCCCACAACCGAATCGTGCAATCCATCGCGCCCGACGCCAGCACGTTGTTGGCACTGGGATGGAAGGCGACGCACCGGATGCCCTTGTCGTGGCCGCTTAGTGACGCCACCACGCGCTCGTTCGGGTTGGTATAGTCCGACAGCTACGTGGAGCGCTGGTCGCATGTTCGACAAGTCGAGAGCTGCCGTACCTGAATCGAGCAGTCGTCAGAGGCCGTCGCGAGCAACTGCGGTCGAAATGGATGGAATTCCAAGTCTGTCACGGGCAGCTTGTGGCAATTGATCACGATGCCGCCATGATCTACCTACGGACAGCTCCATCACGATGGCAGCGTCGTCTCGACGGCAGCGCTATATCGCACAAGACCAGCATTCGCGCCCAAACCACGCACACCCCATCGAAACCACACGACATGGTACCTTGCCTGGGGATCCAAGCGGATGGACGAGAACGGGGCCGCCTGTACCAACGATTGCCGTCGCCCAGTGCGTGGCATTTGCGACCAAGAGCGCCGCATCCGACGACGGGACGTTCAGGAACGACTCGGACCGGGCCATCGTCTTGCCAGTAATGTATTTGAACTAGGCACAGCACAGGTGACAGGGGGCGAGTCGAGCTGTGAATTTTGCGACGCAATATATACCTTGTTGCCTTGGATCGACCCCAGCTTTTTGGCCTTTTCCGACAGCTCGAACTTGATCGGCGCTGCTTGAGTTGCCGGGGCATCGATGTCTGGTGTCAGGATCGCTGTCGGAGGCGGCGCGGCACTTGCCCATCCGCCGCCTGCATTCCAACTTGTGTTGGCCACATCGATCGCGCCATGGAGTGCCGCCCCGGCGGTCCCAGATGCAGCGGGAACCACTGCACCCAAGAGAGGCGCCGCATCGCGTCTGCTGGCCCAGTCTGCCGCCGTCAACGCTGGCGTGCTCGTTCTTGAATCGGGGTACAGATCCGCCTGCCGCACCCACAAGTCTCCATCACACAACGCCACGCGCGGTGGGCACTCACCTGGAACTGATTGACAGCGTCGCGACGAGGCACCGTGTACGAGATCGGCTCGATGACGTTGCCCTGCTCCACCACCAACAACCGCGCGACCTCACACGAGGTCAAAGCACACGCGCGCTTGGGGACGCGTGCGACTCCCCACGCCGGCCGAGACGACGTCGTGGCTTGGAGCGGCGAGAACGCAGGCGCCTTGTCCACGTTGATCTCGTACGTGCGAATGATTTTGTCGCCCTGAAACAGCCCGCATGAGTCGATCCAGCAATGATGACTACATGGGGGAAGGAGCGCTAGATGCTCCACTTGCATCCTCTGGACGGTGCGGCAGACGAGCGCCGGCGAGCCAACAACAAAAACAACACACAATGCGATTCACACCCCATGCCACTTGCACACAGAATCCAATCGTGATCGAAACCGGGACGTGGCTGCTGAACGCATCCCAGAGTCGACTTGGCCGAGCCACAACAGCATGGCGCGGTCACGCCCTTGAAAGCAACGCATGGCATCCAGTTGTTGAGTCCACCCCAACGACTCGAGACGGCTCGTCCGAATGCGTGCCCTCTGACAAATCACGGCATGCCACGGCCTGCAAGTCGCCATCGGGAAGGCCATCGCAACAACCCGCTCTCGCGCATGCCAATTTTGCTCCGAGCATGCGACCAACGATCGAATTGAATCGTCTTTTGCACACCACATGCCAGCCACACGACGTACCCGACCAGCCACAAAGAGCAAGTTGGTATCTTCGTCGAACGTTGGTATGAGTAGTCCAGTGCCAGTGTCGACGCGCTCGCGACCGACCGACTTGTCGAGCTTGCGCATATCCCACAGCATCAATTCGCGCTCCTGCAGCGTGTTGAACCCGGCCGTGAGAAACACGTCCGGCTGGAGCCACGCGATCGCGGCTGCTTTGCGGCCTTGGTGGCCCTTGGTGGTCGCCACCGTCCCATCGCCGCGAGGGTCCCATACACGGATCAACTTGTCTTGGCACACCGTCGCGGCTGCACTACACACAATTCCGGTCATTTCTGTTTCCCAGGGAGTCAACGAAAAAAGTCGACGACGTGTGTAGATGGAAGACGGCATCGCTAGCCAGCATCACGCAGTGCAGCCAAAAAACAAAGCAGGGCGGGGGACGCATTGGACATGGCGCGGTCGTCGATATGGCGCTCTCTGCCGTGTTTCGCTGCCGATCGCCTCCACGACACTCGACCGGAGAAATCGCGGCGGCGGGTCGACCCCTTACCTGCCGTCGTAGTTCCACGTGAAGCCCGTGATGACGTCGGGGTGAGCAAAGGACGTCGGCACCATAGCCTGTTGACGCTGTATGTTCAACACCGCGATCGTCTTGGACATGGCGACTGCGAGCACGTCCGACGCCGACGGGTGGAATGCGAGCCCGACGACGCGTGTGTTGACCGCTGCATCTTCGAATGACCACAGGCAGACGCTCGATTCGATCGACGATGACGTGTCCCACAGCTATGAGCGACAAAAGAGGTATGTAGGATGGACGTGACATGGCGCGCACCTTGACCGTGGTGTCGTCCCCGCCCGACGCCAAGATGGAAGTTGAAGACGACGGAAGGTACGTTGCATACGCCAACGCGTTCACGCGTTGGGTGTGTCCTTTCAGGAGCGACGTTGGCTGTACATGGACGTCCGTGACGTCGAAACAGCATGCACGAAGGGAGGCATTACCTTTTGAATCGCATGGGCTTTGCCCGTGTCGCTTGTGGGTTTGATCTCGATGCACGCTCCACCTGCTCGTCATTCTTTAGCGGGCGGTATGGCATTAACAGGGAAGCTTGTGTACCATTTAGTTGCGACGGAAATGCGAATTGGGAACTCGTTGCAGCGATCGGGTACAAGTCTAGCCGATCTGCATCGAGTTGCAGCTCTTCGTACCATTCTTCCCGCGGGACGTTGGACCCAAGCACGTTGCGATACTTACTACATGGCGCGCGCATGATCCCCATGAACGAACGACCGAGAGGCGGCGCGCGGCGCTGTACCTGACTTTGAACATGATGACGATCTTCTTGATTGACGAAGATATTTTGTGAGGATGTTTTAAATGGATTTTGAAAACATATCAAGTGCATTTAAAAACCACGCCACAGGAATACCAGCGTCGATCGAGTTCGCCAAGTACTGCATTGCGACAGCTTGTATTCAACGTCGCATAAGTCCATCGACAAGTGGAGCTCCACGAATCTGCGACCGCTACGCAATTCCTACATGCATGGACGGTGGAGTTCTCGACTGGCCACGTCGTTGTTTCGACAGAATACCAATGATCAACTCAATATTAAATGACATACACGTGATAAAATGAACATTTTTCAAATTAGGATTCAGTTTGCTGGCTTATTTAAAATTCCACGACGTTTGAAACTTGGCGCGGACCAGTGAAACAAACATGTCGGACGCCACCGATGATCCCGTGGTGCGGGAGATCCCCGTGCATTTGGCCGACATCCTTCGCGGCAGCATGTATATCCATGATGCAGCGCTTGATACCTTCTGCATTCTCATCCCCTGTCGCTTCTGTGTAGTCATGTCGTGCAATTCCCGCTGCGGCCAGTGTATCGCCCCATGACGAGCAGACCCGTCCACGCCGAGTACAAACCAGTCAACTCGATGCTGACGCTGGACTACCCCGTACACACGGAAGATCACTACAACAAGGACGACGACATGGACATGCCGTCGCGAATGACTTTGCAAAGCAGCGCGATTGCACCGGTTTCCAACTATGCCGTGGGAGTGTTTCGCGACGGTCAGTTGCACTTGACGCCCGTGACGTCGATCCTGCAAATGCGCCCGACCATGTCCCATTTGGACGACGAGGATGAAAAGGACGACAACGACATGGACGTGTCGACTCCAGTCGCTCCGACGTCCGCAGCAGCGCCGGAAGAAGTCCAGGTGCAGGTCGTCAAGCGGCAGTCCGAGCGCGCACTGGCAGCGATGCAAAACTCATACGCGTACAAGCGCAGCGTAATCCAGAGCGAAAAGTGGATGGATTTGACGATTAACCCGACAGAAGAAGACGAGTTCGAGCAGTTGTTCAGTGACGTCGAGGTGCCCGTGCCATTTGACGTGACGCCCCAAGCCTACCTCAACGCATTGAGTTATCGCCAAGACGAGCCGGACGCGGTCTCCGTCGCCACCGCGATGGACAACAAGGCGGCGGACACAGGTTTGAATTCCACTGGGAACATGAACAAATCGGCGTCGCTCGACGATCGCGTCCTTGCCGTCCTGCAAACGTACAAAGTACTTCATTTCAATCAGCTCTGCGAGTTGTTGCCGCTGGAAAGTCGCCACGAAATCCACGCGGCGTTGCCACGCGTCGCCACCATCGTCCGTGGTTGTGTCGTGGCCAAATCGTCGCGGCTGCCCGACCATCCTGACTTCCGCGCCGCGATCGTCGCCGAGGTGCGTCCTACTGCGTAGCTCGTGTTGGTTGGACTGTCTGGCTTCATGCGGGGGTCGTGCACAAATGGTTCGGAATGGCGCAGCCAGCTATCGTGGCCACGCGTTGTGGTGGTTCTGCAACATGCACATCGACAACACTAACGCGTTCCGGCCAACTTGTAGCTCGCGAACGCCGTGCACATCTCGCGGAATGACGTGATTCAAAAGTATGCGATCCCTGCTATGTTGGCAAAAACGCTCTTGACCGGTCCGTCGTGCCTCCTCCATCCCTCTGCAACCATGGCGCTGCTTGGACCTGCGATGGATCGCAGTGTGTGGTTGCCTCAACGGAACCTGACCGTTGTCTCTCGTAGACTACGCCGTGCTGAACCCGGCGAACCGACTGTGGACGCTTAAACTGCCCGACGACCACGAATCCAACTGGTTGCTATGACACATGAACGACTGTACCTTGAATGCGAAAAACCTTGACATGATTGACGTCGCCATGTGCTGCTGCTGCTGCTGCTGCATGGAGCGCAAGCGAGATAGGGTTCGACCTTGTGCGGCCGCCGTGCACCCCACGCTTGTGTCCCCAAATGCATGTGTCGTCAGCCCGCACTTCACGGTCGACCGCATTGCCATCTTGGTGGCTAGCCCTTCGTCACGCTCCCAGCGTCCTGGATGTCTTGAATTAGATGCTTCAAACAGATGGGGAACGGCGGCATGTCGTAGTTGGTCGCGGCGCGCAGCAACCCATCGGCGGGCGACGGACTGGGCGTGCAATTTCATCCAAATAGATATAGCGTGCGGGGCTCGTAGAGCGGCGCGCACTTGTCCCGGTGGTCAACCTGCCCTTCACATGGAACGAAAAATCCAAACTTCGAACTAAAAACCCCACGCCATGCTTTCTAAATACACATGCTTCCTGTTCGCCATCGCCGCCGTGGCGTCGCGGCATTGCGGTCACACGGCCGTGGCAAACCCAGCGCCACGCACTGCGACGGGTGGGTCCAGCGGAATATCTGTCAGTGTCGATGCCGGTGTCGCGGCCACACCACGTTCCGCGGCATTACGCTTGGCGTCTTCGTCGACCACTTTCTTCCCGTCGCCCACGACGGCCGGTGGCGCCGTCCCCGGCGTGTTCGAGTTGCTCGGAATGTCGATGAATCCTGGACTTTGCGAGTTCACTTCGTAGTACGTCTTGGCGGCGCAACCACACATGCCTTGCGTCATGGACAGCAGTGAGTCAAACAATGACACCGACGCCGGCTTGACTTCGGCGCTTGCCAAGTGGTCCCGCGCGATGGATGCTGCCTTGTCTTCGGGCAGCAAGATGTCGCACACGTCCTTGCCAGACTTGGTCCCTTGATGCGGTGCAATCTCGTACTTGTCGTTGAGCATGCGGAACAACTCGACTTCGCGTCCGTGCCAGCCGTCGATCACGGCTTGAATCGTGCACTGATCGAGCTTGGCGGGGTTGTACGTGGAGTAAAACAGGACGAGGGCGTCGCGGGTCTCGAGGGACGCGTCATAGTCGCCTAACATAGCAACGTGAAATGGGAATCCCTTGGAGAGAGGAGGGTATGGTGCGGTGCATACTTCGGTCGTTCGGGTTGCTCAACACTGCGTACGCGGCAGGCACACCGTCCCATCGTTCTTCAGCCTCCTTGGATGGGTTTCGATCGGGGTGGAAGCGCAAAGCGAGCGTGCGGTATGCCGACCGAATTTCGGCGTGCGTGGCCGTCCGGGCAACACCCAGCGTCTCGTAGTAGTCTTTGTACTTGACCGTCTCGGCTGTGAGGTGCGATGCCTGCTGCTGATATCTCTTCATGTACTCTCGATGCATGTCCATCTGCTCCCGTTTCGACGCGGACGGCCCCGACGTCGACGATGTCATCTTGGTTGGGAATATGTGGAAGAGTGGGCTGATGTTGCAGAGGACGATCGACCTATTTTTAGGCAAAACTTTGACGAATTGTAAATCTATTTTATTATTGCACTGTCACGTGGCCGTGTTACTCCGTGTAATAAAATTCCCCGGACAAAAAACGTGTTCCTCGTTCTGGTTTTTCTCATAATTCTATAACGCATCCGGATAATCCGCTTCATGCGGAAGGAACGCTAAAACTGCGTTTAAACTCTCTGCTCTCAGGATAATTATGTGAAAAGAATCACAACCGATACGTCCACAACGATTACTCGACCATTGCTCTGATCCGTTTCCACCTAGTCGTGTGGAGTTTTGAATCGTTAGATAAACAAGTCTTTGGAAGTTGTGTGGCGAAGCCAGCAAACGGAATGGAAAGATCACGATCACCATTTCCTCTTTGGCGAAAACGATGTTGTGAAGTAGACTTGCCCGACGAATCATCCTTGTGGTGAATTCCCATCAAGTAAAAATCCATCAAATTCCTCAAATCGTGAAATTTATTGAAATTTTCAATAGTAATCAATATTTGGATAAGTACGACTCTACTGACTCTACTGACAATCCTCCACGCCGCGCTGGCTGCCCGCAGCTAGCGCCTCGAGCAAAATGGTGAGTGGACGATGTTGACTGGCCATTCATCGCCGACCAATGAAGGAAGATGGGAAAAGATGTACTTACAGGACGTGTAGTCCCTTCCACGACTCCTCCCAGCGCTACCGCCGTGTCACTTACAGTGTACTTGTCCAACTCAAATATTGAGGTTCCGCAAAAATCGTCTGCAGAGGAGCCCGAGGAGTTCTCACTTTAGCATACAAAACACAAGAGCATTTTTTAGACGTATTTTCGTGGACGTTGCGAATGTCCTGTCGCTTGATTCATCGTACACACCAATGCAACGTGTCGGCAGCGTCAACAAATGCACGACGAGGGAACGTGCAATCACCCCTCTAACGTGTCTAGAGGAATTGCAGCATAGCGGTTCGATCGAGATCACGAGATTCATGTGTGAATGCTTTTTGCACAATGCATGATGGACTATGGAAAGTGGGCATGTCTTCACGTGTTTTCCGGATATGAAATATTATTACGGCCTCGCCCACTTGACTTGCCTGTGGTATTCCAAATACAGTTTGGTTTTTCATGAAAAATTTCTTGGATTGGCTGACTGTGAGTATACCTCGTGCCAGGGACTGCACGAGCGGGATTTCTACAACAAGGTCATGAAAGGTTCTTTTGACTGTGAATCTCATATCCATTTGAGGGCGCCCCCAAAATGGTTTCAAGAAGGGGGGTAAAATATAAAAAATACAGCTTATGTACGTCAGAACTGATAAGTTGTGTCGCCGAGGACTTCTTGTTAAGTTCTCCATTGACGACGAGCACGGCGAGTCGTGGTGGGATGATAGCGCAGACCATTGCCGTGTAGTGGGCCGAGTTTGCGATTGCGCCGGAACAAGAGAAGAACGTAGACTCGTCGCGCTTCAGGATGCTGGCCAACGGCGCCAAGCTAATGTTGAAGCAGTACTGGCCCGAGCTGCGGTAGATTGCCATCAAGCTACCAGCATGGCGACGTCGAGTGCCGCCTCCGTGCGGAACTCTCGAGCTTTGGCTTCCCACATTCAAAGGTTCGAAACCGCCTGACCCGAATGAGCGTCGACAAGCTGACTTTGATCAAAAGCATCGTGCCAGCATTCTACGACTACGCCCTCTACGACGAGGCCGCGAAGATGATCCATCGCGATAATCATTGAGCAGGAAAGCGAGGAGGAACAGAATGCAGAATACAAGCGCGGGTTTTATTGTTGCAAGAGGCGGTTTTATTGCTTTTAACCTGTAACCAAACTTCCTCTGAAAAGAAATTTGGTTTTATTCCATCCAGCGTACTTCTGACACTCCACAAAAATGCCCTGTTTATTATTTCTTATGTGGTAAAACTATATTCGTACTCCGGAGAAAGATATACATTACACTTAAGTATGTGACCTTTCAAAATGCTATGCAAAAAGAGGAGGATGCAGTAGTGGCCGTGAGCTTATTGTTGGTGAGCGTCGTCAGCACGGTTACGACCTTGGGCGCCGAGTTTGCGGTTGGCGTTTTGGCGTTCCCGACGTTTACGTTTGTTAGCGTTGGGAGCAGGGAGGACTGTAGGGGTGCCCGTGGTGGCGCCAGGGGGGTTGCTGGGGTCGCCTTTGCGATATATTCGTACTCCGGAGTATATATGAAGGCAACGTCTTGAGAGGTTTTGCGTGTCAACATGCGCCTGATATTTGCGCGCTCCCACCTGGACCAGATACGGGCACTTACACAATGCCTCGGGCGCGACCAGTGTCGAATATGGAGACACGAAGTGTCTTGGATGTTCAAGTGTCGCACCAGACGAAGACTTTAATGTTTAATTCTATGTACATTTCAAGCCTTTGTTGGGATTTTCATTCAAATTACGATTGATTTGACTGGTTGATGCCCAGCACTGTAAATTTAACCTACAGCTGCCCGGATTTTTAGTGAGATTTGTATTTCCAAACAGATTTACATGATCTGATTCAAATCCGGCCAGAACATTCGCTATGTTTGACATGTCACATGTCGAACTGATGAACACTAGGCGGAAGTTGTTTTCTTAGCGGTGCACACCCATGATCACATAAAGTCGCCGCGAAATGGAGGGACATGCATAGAGTCTGGTCCAAGCCGCTGTGGGGTCGCCGCCTTCGCGCGACTAGCCAAACGCTCATGAATCTTGACCTCGATCGCTTGGACACGGAACGATGGATGGGCTCGGTCGCACTTGGTATTATACAATTCGAACGTAACTTTACGTTGTATTTGCATCATTCAAGCGACGCGGCGCAGAGCACGCAACGGCGGGCCAGCAAGCAGGGGTGGTTCGAAATTCCCTGCCACTAGCCTCGTGCAACATATCATTTCGCCATGGGGTCACACTCGGTGGACTCGTCAGCGCGTCGACTGTGCGAAGCACGACGTCGAGCGCATTCCTCTGGGCAACACCCCAGGGGCTGGAGAATTGTCCGGATACCGAAAAATTTACGAGCGTCGTTGTGTCACGAAATGCATTGCACGTTTAGAACAACCCACCAACCCCACTTCTGTGGTGAGTCCACAACGTCCAATTATTTGACCGACTATGAAAGGTGAACGCTGGTAGCATACTTTAACGAATCCTCTGTTGAGTAAGAACGAACGAAATGTACTTGGGGGTGCGACAGAGCAAGAAATATTGACATGGTGCGAAGTTCAGTACAATGCGTTGGAAGAACGGTCCGCTACCTAATACAGGCTTCCTTCGTCTGCCCACCCGCACCGAATTGCTCAAAACATCCCATCAAGAATATTTCAAACTCTGGAGTAAACAATGACCCATGTTCAATATATCTCACACAGGTACCCAACGTAAACTCAGGATGTATGTTTTTAACTTGATGAATACCGTCCACGTAAGTCGAGAACACACAAAATAATCTTGCATGAAATATATATATTGAACCAAATCGTAGCGGTGCGATATTCGTAACAACGAGCAAGGGACCGCACACCCACGAGCATGGTGGCAAGCCCCATATCGCCACGTCCAGCGTTCAAACAGCGTCATGCGATCGATTCCAGCCACTGGCGCATGCTAGTACTCCTTTGTCCGCAACCCACCTCGTTTCCATGTCGCGCTCTTGGTCAACAACCCCCCCCGCAGTCGTAGACAGTACCTTCGTCTAGATTCAAGGAATTCCTCGCCCCACCCTATCGCCCTCCGCGGGCGTTTCGAAATCCGACAGCAGCATGGCGAGGCCAATACAAACTTCAAGTATAAACTCGCCGCCCCTCGAATGTCCGAGCTCGCAGATAATGGGGCGAAACAGCCCCTATACAAACTTCAAGAGTAAACACGAAAGCGTCGCACCCAGCGCCAACGCAACATGCTCCGGCTCCAGTTCGCGGACCCTCCGGCCGCTTCCTCTCTCTGACGACTGTCGTCTGGGCCATGGCAATTCGCATTCGCACCTGCACATGACAGACCATCGAAGGTGTCGCGCTGCTGCGATCGCGGTGGTCGTGGCCGCCACAGCCCAAGCGCAGCTGGTGACCACGATGACGACACCGCCGCCACCTCCTTCGGAAGGCAACGGCTTGAGACCTGGCGTCGTTGTCGGACTGGTCGTTGGTGTCGTCGTCGTTGGCGCAATTCTCGTTTACGGTGGCATTTACTTTTTGAAACAACATACGCTTCGAGGCGCAGCGGCCCTGTCCACAGACAAAGTCGTCACGACGAACGATGCCCAGGCATACTTTGGACCTGCCCGGCAGTCGGACGACTTCGACGTGTACTTTGGCAAGCAACCGTCCATGGTGACGAACATGGCATCCCATCCATGCGTGAAACTCGGGTCGTCCAGGGCAACCGCCGCCACCGTCGCCGTGGACATCAATGTTCCGACCAAGCCTGCGTCGTCGCGAGCACTGCCGCCGACAACGGTCCACCATGTCAAGCTGGATGCAGTGATGTCGCCCCAACATTCTTCAGTGGCCGACGACGCGCCGTCGGACATGGTCACAGCCATGCGATCGTATCGCAGCATGATTCAGCAACAAACCATGGGGGTTGACATCGCGTGGATGAGTCCCGTGGAAAGCTCTCGAAGCTTGTTTCCCTCCCAACGAGCCATCGTCGACCCAACCTCCATCGACGACGTTAGCAAACTCGAATGGTTGAGCGCCATGGAGTCCACAAGAACGACCAATCTCGCAGCATTCGACAGCATGCGCAACGTGATGGACCTTGCCATGGACGAGGAAGCCAGCGAAGCCAGCTGCAGAACCACATTCAACTTGTAGTCCTCCATAGCCAGCGTCAACCACGCCACATATTATAATTTACTCTCCATGCACAAATGCGGTCGGCACCGCGAGCGAGCGCCATGGGGGGCACTCCTCTACGGCTTGGAAACAACCCTCCACCCAGCACGCATGTCGTCCAGCTGCACCGTTGCAACGATGTGGCGTGCGACAAGTCGGGTGCCACACTCACGATGGACGCCCGGGCAACGACACCGAACAAGGCTCGGCAGAGAATGCGATCTCCATGGATTATCATAACCAAGAAAAAGCGTCTATGTGGTCCTCGAACGGCACATTGTGCATGCATTGTGGCTCGTGAGGGAAGCCAACGCTAGCGCATTTCTACTGCAGCCAGAGTCGTGCAGCGTGTCGGGTCGGCTCGGAAGCTGACCACACACTCGCCTCTGTCGGCGGCTGCGGAGCCGTGCGGCGGTTGTACATGCGGGTGGACACATGAAAGAAGCGTTCAAGCAAATCGGGTGGCTCCTGAAAAGACACATATCGAAAACGATGGGATCGACGACGTGGTGCGTGGCTTGTTGGCTGTGTGTACACCCCACCCACGGCAACTCGCCTTCGTCCGTCGTCAGGTCACCTCGTCCTGGCGCGTTGGTGCAACCACGTCATGTAGACCGCCACGTATGCTGTGCGTGAACTCGATGCCGAGGGTTGCATGTCCGTTGAGCAGAGAGCACGGGCATCGTCGTTTCATGTCGAGCCTGTAGCCATTGCGCGCAGCTGGGAATTGCACACTTGTGAAATGTCGCCTTCAACGTCGGCACACCACCTCTGCCACGCACGACCACACATCCGACCATCTCCACGTCAAACAACGCCTCAAATTTGAAGCATTTCGTGCAAAAGCTGTGTTTTTTGCAATATATTCGCGAAAACGCCGTCGCGTTTGCTAGGTTGGCGTGAAATGGAGCTTGATAAAAGTGAAACATATCAACTGTCCGTGTTCTTCCGCCCCTCCCTCGAATTGATTGGTGTTGCTGGCGTCATAAACTCCGCGAGTTGCTGCCGCCATGACGACGTCCGCCAACAAGTTGACGCATCTCGTGGTCGATGCCGGTGCTTTGATCAAGGGCGCGGATCTGTCCAGCGTGGCCGAAGTGCGTCGGTCGTGGCTTCCACACACGACGACTGATCATGTGTGTGTGTGTAGAACCTGTGGACGACGAGCGACGTGCTGGCCGAAATCAAAGACTCCAAGTCCCGTCGGTTCGTCGCACGTCTCCCGATGGAGCTCAAGACGCGCGATCCGTCCGAGAAGGACATGGACGCGGTCGTGGCGTTTTCGCGCTTGACGGGGGACTTTTCGTTCTTGTCGCTGACCGACTTGCGCGTCATGGCGCTGACGTACATGTTTGAACGCGAACTCCATGGCACCGACCACATTCGCAAGACGCCCAAGGTCGCCGAGACCAAGGTCACGGGCCCCAAGGTCCCCGCTTCCAAGGTGCGACCTGCTTCCCGTTCGACGAGCGTACATCGTCGGTTGTAGGTGCGATGCCGCTACATTCAGAGTCCCGGCGGGTGCCGCAACGGATCGACATGCCCATTTAGCCACAACCTCAAGGACAACGCTGTCGTGAACGCCGAGCCGTTGCCAGCGATCGAGTTGCCCTGCCGATACTTCAACTCGGACTCGGGGTGTACCCTCGGCAACGCGTGCCGGTTTCTCCACGTCCTGGTAGACTCTGACACAACGACCGCGCCGTCTTTCGACGCTCGTCCCGAGAAGACCATGCCTTCTACCGTGCCGGAAGACGACGACGCTTCCATCGCTAAAACATCCCCTGAGGACGTCGTTGCCCCTCGTCGCATCCACGCCACAGTCAAGTCGCGGATTCTCAGCGCAGGCTTTGGCGCGTCCACAAACGCCGGCGCGGACGGCGACGACGGCAAAAACTGGATCAACAGCACCAACATGGCCGAATTCGCGCAGAGTCCGTTTGGCAGCGGCAAGCTCACGCACGCCATCGACGCGTCTATCCAAGTCGGGTGCATCACGACCGATTATTCCATGCAGGTACGTCGGCGCTTCTCAAGTGGCGGCTTCTCTCGCTGCTGCCGCCTATCGTGAGTGGACGGCGTTTTCCATGTGTGTGCGTGTGGAGGTGCTGGATGCACGCAGTGTGGAGGCGGTGGCGCGTCGAGAGGGGGCTTCGATGCCAGGAGATTTGGCTGGGCTGACGTCGTCGTCGTGTAGAATGTCCTTGTGCAAATGGGACTCCACCTCCTCAGCACGGACGGGATGGTCATCCACCGCGTCAAGCAGTGGATCCTCAAATGCGCCGCGTGCTTCAAAACGACCACCGAGCTCGACCGCAAATTTTGCCCCGTGTGCGGAAACAACTTGATGGAGCGCATTGCGTGCAGCCTCGACAAAGACACCGAGCAGTTGACGCTGTATACGCGGGCGAACCGACCGGCGGTACGACTCGGAAACGAGCATGGCGGTCATGCTGCTGTTGATGTGTAGAACCTCCGCGGGTCCAAGTTTTCGCTCCCGATGCCGACGGGCGGCCGCCAAGGTGATCTCTTGCTGCGGGAAGACCAGCTCATGCATGGCATCTGGGCGCAGCGCCAAAAAACGTCGGCCAAGGTGCGTGGCGGAGTCGGTCGCCGCGACGACGAGAATTTGACGAGTGGCATGTAGGTGCTCAAGAGCGCGTTTGGCGAGCACGTCGCTCACGATTTGGGCGTCAAAGCCGAAAAGCAAACGGCCATCACGGTCGGGTACGGCCGCATGAACCCGAACGCGCAGAAAGGCCGCGAACGGCGAGGAAAGAAGAAGCGCAGCGCCAACTAGGGGCCGGCGTCGCTGGGACCTGCTAAATGGCGTAATATATCTTGGATTTTCAACGGGCCAGCGATCGAGTGGCATCGCGGGTGTGGCCGAGCTCCCCACGTCCTCAAACGACCCATGCATCCGTGGTCGCACGCATCGTGGTCTCTGTCAGCATCCAACCACGACGGTTGTTCGTCGACAGCGCTGTCGTCTCCTCGCGGATACAAGCGTGCTCTCGATCGGGAACTGCTTTGTGCATGCACGCGGCCACAATGCACCGCCTCATGCACGTACTACACTGGTATCGGCGCCGACGCCGTTCCTTTCCACCCTCTCCTACGTTGGTTTTGTGGACGCGGCACAAGGGTTTCGTCCACGTAGCGCGCTATATGTACTCGATCGCTACCGCCGCTCGCGATGCCATGGCCGTAAAAATAGACGATGGCCGCCGTGCCGAGGTGTGGTTTCACTTGAAACGGCACCACCGGCGGTTGCTCGCGGCAGCGACGCTATCCCGACGTCCCTCTCGGGCAACTCTGTGCAGCTTGGTCGATCCGCCCCATCGTTTCAACCCGCCGACTGCCCGGAGGCCGCCGCCCGATTCTGTTTGTTCTCATACATAACGACGCGCCACATGCCGAAGAAAGCGCTGTCTCTTGACGAGGCGGTAGCCCAAGGCCTGCGGCCGTCGACGCCGCGGTCGCTGGAAGCGTGCCTTCGCACCGGGATCGACCCCGACGAGATCGTGCCCAGGTACTTGCTCGGATCGTCGACTCGGTCCATGGTGGCGGCGCTTGAAGGCTCTGGCCAGCTGCCCTTTGTTCACCCTCACGTGGGATGTCCTTGTAGGCTCCTCGAAGACTTTGTCAACAAAATGCGCAAGTCGGACGAGATTGAGCGGGAAGCGGCGCAGATCCGGTTCCACCATTTCGAAGAGGGCCGCCAGATGAAGATTGGCTTGCTCAAGAAGGAGCGGCTGCACTTGATCGAGTCTGGATTCACAGCGTCGCCCTTGAGCAAGAAGCTCGCGAGTCCGTCGCCGACAAAGGTACACAACACGAATTCTCGACGATGCGTGCGTGCAGGTGCTCGCCCGGCACGCGTGCGCGCGTGTGAGTCGGGAGAGCCTTGGCGTGATGCTGTCGGTGGGCCCCAGCTCGTGCATTCGATCGTTGTGTTGTTGTGACTGTTGTAGCCACAAGATGGCGACCCTGCCATGCCTCATGTACCTACCTACCTCCTCCTTCTTCCTCTCGGTCGTCCTCTCTCTCGTCTGCGTGCCTTGTGCTGAATGCCGTCGATTGTGTGCGTGTGGGTGACGAGCTTGCCTTCGTTCGCATTGCAGCATGGGTTGTTTCGATGGACCGGTGTGTGCTTTGATTTGGTGGCTGTGTTGGGTGGACGGGTTGTTGGAAGGAGGGGCGTTGCCGCCGGCGATCGGCACTTGTCGCTGCCGCGGTCCGCATGCCGGGATCGGAAGCGAGTATGGAGCGGATCTTGGTGAATGTCCATGGCTCGTGCCGAATGCGTTGCCGGGACGGCGTCGATGTAGCGGTGATGTGGCAATGCTTTCATGGCCACGAGCGCGTCCAAAGTCTGTCTGTCACCCACGTGCATGTGCTTCGTTGGCATGCTTTCTTGGAAAACATTGACTGCATGCAGGCGTCGGTGCTGCTCTCGCTTGGCTAACGAACCGTGCGTCATGCATGCTCGACTTGCTGACGCGACGTGTGCCGGTGTAGAAGCGCGCGTCGCCGTTTGACGTGTTTCGGACCGAGCCCGACGAAAAGCCCGTCGTCGTCACCGACTCGACCATGGTCGAGCTCGAGGAGAAGCGATTTCACGCGATGAAAGTTCGGTGCGTCGTCGAGTTGATGCGGTCCCGGCCCTTGAAATCGAAACCTGTGCCACAGCCAAGAGCGGGAAATCGCCGGCATCATTGAGATGGAGACCAAGATGGCCGAGATCCAAAAGCAAAACGCGGCGCGGGAAGCGATCGAAGCCAAACGCAAGGCCGAGTGGGAAAAGGAGAAAAAGGATCGCCGCGCTGCGCTCATGGCGGCCAAGCACGAGCGCGAGATCCTCAAGAAAAAAGCCGAAGTACGTGTCGACCACACGATTGCGAGTGAATGGATGGATGGATGCAGGACGCCGAGGCCGTCGCAAGGAGAATACGAGCCAAACGCGAAGCGGAAAAGGAAAAGGCGCTGCTCGAAGAAATGCGCAAAGAGGAGAAGCAGCGGCAGCTCGTACGACCGATCGGGTGACACACGAGTTTCTCTCACGATCGTGTTGTCCAGGAAATGGCGGAACGCGAGCACGACCGAAAGCTCAAGGCCGAGCAACATCGGCGGGAAACCGAGGAGCTGCTCCAGCAGCAGGTACTCAACAACTCGATCGAGTGGGGTGTCGGCTCGCCGGCGGCCCGACGTGGTTCTGCACCGACTTGACGTCGCGCGCAGGAAAACAAAATTCTCGAGAACCGGCGGCGCGTGATCGAGCGGGAAAAACAAGCGCAGCGCAAGATGGAGGAAGCCAACGAGCGCCGGCGACAGGAAGCGCTGATTCGGTACGATCGATCGACGCACGTCGTCCTAGTCGTTCGTGTAGGCGCGAAAAAGCCAACCAGCGCATTCAGTTGGCGCTCGAGCAAAACCAGCACGTGATGCAGAAGAAGAAGAAGGACTTTGATGCCAAACAGGCGCTGGCGGCCGCGCGCGCAATGGAGGTCCACAAGAAAGAAATGCAGGGTACGTGCGGCAGTCGCCATCGCCCCTCGATCGACCGTACGCCATCATGGGTAGATTTGAAGGCGCGCGCCGAACGCAACAAAAAGGAAGAGGAAATTCGGGTCCAGCGCGTCGAAGCTGCACGCACCCACCAGCAAGCGCGCGTCCAGACCATTGTCGAGAAGCGCTCGCAGCTCGTACGTCATGCGCCGACCTTTGTTGCTCTCCACGGCGTTGTTGCCTTGGCATGACGAGAACGCCTCCTCATCGACGGTCATGTGTGTGGGGCGCCGCAGGAATCGCACTTGGACGTAGTCTACCACGAGCGTGTGAAAGACCGCGCGCTGAAATCCGTTGAGCGTGAAATGACGTTGGAGGAAAAAAAGGCCAACGTCGAGCGCATCAAGAAAGGTACATGGCGGGCCATCGCCGCCGCGGCCCGGTCGAGTTGCCGCTGCGTTTTGCTCACCGCGACGACGACGATGTCCCCCACGTAGTCGAAGAATTCAATCGGCTCCAGACGTTGATAAAGATCTCGCAGGAAGACTCGCGCAGCCGCATGATCAAGCTCAAGAAGCAAGCGCTGATTGAAGCGCGGAAAAAGATTGCGCTTGGTACGGCCAAACGGACTGTCCAGTCCATCGTGTGGCAGATTTTTTTGCAGCGACTTGGCTCGAATCGATCGAGACGTGCCGTGCTTTGTTGGCGTTGGGTGTGTCGTTCGGTGGTCGATTTTGTTGACGTGTTGTCGTAGAGTCGCTCGTTCGAAAACACCGGATCGCCGAAGCGGTCGGCAACATGCGCATCTCCAACAAATGGGACAACATGCATGACATCATGTACGCGTCGTCGGTGGCAGCGTCGCGATGCCAACTCACGGGACGTTGTAGGGAGAGCGCCATGAGCCCTGGCAAGGACAAATCGCGCAAGAAGAAGCTGGCGAGCTCGAAATCCGCGTCCGATTTGGACGCCGCGGCCGCGTATTTATAGTTGGCATGGCGCGGCGATCGACGATGCTTGGAACGAACGATGATTCAACCAATACACCCCCCCGTCGTCGTCGTCTTGTTTTGCGTGACTAGCAGTGTTGTGGGACATTCGCGAAAAGGTCGGACGCCTCTCCTTGATGGCACCAAGCACGTGCGTCGCTCTGGTGCTCGATCGATCGCCTGGGAGGCTAGCCGAGCACCGGTCGTGCGCATCGGCGCTCGTATATGACTAGCAGCGCCGACGTGAGCGCTCGGGGACAAGATGTTAAAGAAGTCAGGAAAGGGGACGACGGTCGCTGGCGGATGCGCTCGCACCGCGCCTCGGCCATGTATTTAATCTGAATCCGACATGGACGTCAAGTCAATGATGACGACGTCGTCGTCCTTTGGTTGGATCTCTGTTGGTGGTGGATGGACAGCCGTGCGCGAGCGATGGCAAAGCTGAGCAGAGCCCAGTGGCGTCGCTGGCTCGAGTGGGGTTTCCATGGCTGTGGTGTCGGTACTCGCCATGCTGTCCATCGATTTCACCGGTGGCTGCGCAGGCTGTGGCGCGTGCGGAGGGAAGAATGCGGCAATCGACGGCTGGTGGCGCTCAACGCTGCCAATTTTGACTTTCTTTGCCACGTTGCGCTCCATCTTGTGCGCGTTTCGAGGTTTCAGCGGCGGGTCTCGAACTTTTGTATACGTCCCGCCGCACTCTTGCTCGTGCTTTGTCCACCATGAGTCTACGCAAACCCATCGTCCCGTTGACTGCGAGCTACAGACACCGTCCAGGCCAACGCTGTGCTCGACACCAGCTCAGAGTTAGCATGTCAAACCTCTGGGGCCAGGAGGGCGGTTCATCGCTCGTTTAACCATGCCAAAGTATGGCGGGCGGCGTTGACACGGTCCCTACGACGCAATCGATGCACTGTGAGAGCCTCGAAACGAACGTGCCCGGTTGTCCATGCCGCCGCGTGCATCGAAACTCGTCCGTGTGCGCGCACGCATGGCGGCGCAACGAACCGACAATCTCTCGCATCGATGGGACCTTACATTGCATTTCCACCAGTGGACGCGGTACGTGTCGACTTCGTCGTGAAACGTGTGGAAGACAGTGATTCGCGTCTGGGCTAGACAATCGTTAGCATGTACGACCCAGCGCCGTGGATGGAAGGACGCGCGACGGCAGCAGCATCTTCCACGGAGCGTGCATGGCGTATTTGGTTGCGCCGCCGCACGTTCGCAGATTTAACCAAGTGGATTTGAGTCGAGCGCCGACGTACCGAGATTGTTGATTCGATGCATGTGATACTGAAATTGTGGCCCATGATCTGGGAAAGCGGGTTGGACGAAGGGGAATATGCAAGCGCGAGTGGCACCTTCGTGGTCTCGCATGGGACTGTGGAGGAACAGAAACGCGTGGATCATTTCGTGCTATGGGCAAATGCTGCGGTCAGGCCACGTGACACTGTCGAGATGAGAATGTACGAGAAGTGTATTGACCAAGTCGGACCGTGGACGTAGCTGCAGCAGCGGCTGACTAGACGTGATGGTGAATAGAGTCTACGTCATGTCGATGTTGAATGCATACCTCAGTCGAATGGAACAGAACCCAGTTGCGGGTTGGAAGCTACACAGGCCTGCGCACAACGTCATGCGCGGACTCCACTTGATTTCGCATCCTTGGAGGAGACCGTCAAAGAAGAGCGCGTCATACTCCTACGAAAGAAGTCCTAGGACTGTGGCGTTCGTCGTGGAATGCAGGTACTGCAAGCCATGGTACCTGGAAGAGCGACCGCACGTCGGGCGTCGGATCTGCATTCACACAGACACAACGCTCCGGTCAGTTTGGGGCGTGTACACAAGGAACATGTCTCTATCTTGCATGACGGTACCTAGGTATTCGTACTCCTCGGCCAAGAGATTCATCCAGGACAGGTGCCGCACTCAACTTCGCGCCGCCGTTGTCGCAATTCGTAGTGGCGCGAAAAATATGTGGGATTGGCTCCTTTTATGTATATTTTATCCAATCGAATGCTTCATTTTCACCTCATTCGATTCACAAGACATATCACGGCAGACATGACATCTGGAGCATGGCGCATGGCTAGCTAGCGTTGTGGTGCTGTGCTTCGCTGCTACTTTCATGCCCTAGCTTGCGCACCATGCGTCATGTCGAAGCAAGAGCACAAGCGCCTAGCCAGAGCTCCACGACCGTAATACGAACGTCCGTCGACTTTGGATAGTCCAGACTAATATTACCACGACACGCCAGCCATCACTCGATGGTCTCGCCTGCAGCGGCGCGTTTGCCTCGACGGCAACCAAGTCACCACACTGCTGCAACTTGCGCCCGCTTTCATCGCCGCAGGGGCTAAAGATAGCCCGATGCCCGAGTTACACCGCTCTAAACTTAGACGTTGTGCCGCTGGTGAAGAAACCAAGTCTATTCCTATCGGACCTTCGCTGCGACACAACGTCAAGCATCATCTAGTTGCCAGTCTGTGATTGATCTTGACGGCCGGCGACGTGCCTTGGAGTCATGCGTCGTAGCAGCGGCAGCACGTTTCGCCTCAGCGACAAAGCGTTCCTGACCTTCTTCATTCCCGTGAGTCGTCTCGTTGGGTCGACATGCACGTGACGACGTGTGCCTAGCTGGCGTGCATCCTGTTTGCGTCCGCGCCAGCTTTGGTCCTCCAGTCGTTCGCCGACCCGTTGTACGAAACATCAGAGGTACGCGCATGCGTCGCCATCCTGTCAAGCACGGTCCTGGGGCTGCTTGCACGAACCCAACGTCGGATGGACGTCCGCGGGGTGTGTGCAGTAGATGCGCGGCTTGACCATGCGTAGCCATCGCTGACGATTCGATGGCACGTAGGCCGTGCCCGACGTGGTCCGGCACAAAGTGCTCTCGTGGTGGAACAAGCAGACATGGCCACGGCTCTTTTTCCAACAAGCCGACGCGGAAATCCCCCTCGTCTTTTTGCATGAGCAGTACCCGACCACCGGTCGGAAGACGCTCCGCCTCCACGACAAAAAGTACCTCAAGATGGCCGAGACGATGCAACAGTCCAAACGGCCGTCCGAGCTCGGCTACGTTTACATTTTCAACGCCAAGGACGCTCGTGATTTGCCTAAGGTACGTCGCGTTGTTGTGATCGGTCGTCATGCGCGATATGTAGGGCGAACTCGTTCAAGTCGATGGGTTTGAGTGGCGGGACGACGGGTGTTTGGTGTCGACCACGCGGAAGCGAAGCTTTCGGTGAGTCGTCGCCAGGACTGTGCCTGCCTGATACGCGCGTTTGTGTTGGTGTGCAGCATCAAGAGCATTCGCCGCGACCCACATCATGGCATTATGTTTGCCAAAGTCGAGTGGATTTAGATGGAAGCGGCACACCGACGGTCCCCATGAGACGTCGCGGGCGACTGTCGTGCTCTTCCATGTATACGCAACATGCACATGTGTGTTTTGGAGGTGCACGCCGCCTTGCAACAACGATGGTGACGCGACTTTTGGGTAACGACGCGCTAGCGTCGAGCTGAGCGGCGTGCTCGAGGACCGCGTCACTTCGATTCAGTTGGTGTTGAACGTTTCTTAAGTTGTCATGGGCCGGCGTGTGAGATGGCGTTGGACAAGCGAAATGTCGAGGTCGCACGCGCCGCCCTCGTTGCGAGGACAATGTCGCTGACAAAGCAGCATCCCACTTCACGGGGCCAACCTCTGCATGGAGTTCCGACGAACTCGATCGTCGACGCGCCGCCTTGTTCATGGACAAACCAGCCCAACCAACGAGCTTGGTTGCGGCAGCCTTGCGACACGATGGGGATGCACGGACGAAAGTAATGAATGGAGAGGTGGGAGAGGCACAACGCGTTGGAGGCGTTCCCGTTGACGAACAAAGCATGGTCGAGCACGTATGATGACCATAACGTACTCCCCACTCACCCTCGCTACGCGTGCCGCGCACGGGATGGCCGGGATCTCGATCGCGACGTCATCGCCAGGGGTAGCTTACCGACCCCGCCCCCCCGCGACAAGCCATAGTGCCGTTGCCTGTGCTCTCGTCTTCTCGCAAAAACGTGGGCGACAAACCGTGTTGGCTAGGTTTACTCGACGACAAAGGTGTCGGCAACGTGGTGGACTATATCGAGGCCAGACTCGTGGGCAAGCACTTCGTTGCTTCGCTTTGCAATGATCAGCTCGTGCGCCATCATGCTCTCCATCAACACGTCGATGCGCTCCCATTCGAGGGACTGCACGCACACAAGCATGCCTACGGCGACCGCATGTCGTCAGCACGGGAGCAAACCCCACCATGCTTTCGCACCTCGCAATACATCCCGCGATGGATCGGTCGCGTACGTGTCGACGGGGGGGTCGACCAAGACTTTATCCGACGCTACAAGAGCAGTTGAACAGCACGACCATGCGACCCACGACCAGGTTCGCACGAAATGGATCGCATCGCACCTTTCGACACGACGTGGCATATGCGGTCGTGCGGAGGCAATGCGTCTACGAGGCCAGTCAACATCGTCTACGATCACAAGCATCGACCGAACGCACTGGCGTCTGTGGTTTTCTTGACAGGGAACATGTAGGCGGGTATGGCAGCAAGGCCGTGTAGCCAACTCTTGGGCTTTTGGTCGACTCTAGCACTGTCCGACTCGGTGGATGCAGCCGCCACCGCACGATCCACGACTAGTTGGATAGATCCAGGCAAAGGACGACACGATCGTACACGTACTGCTCGCACGCAAGACAGCGGCATTCTCCATCGAATGCAGCGTAATGTGGGGGTACACTGGCGACATCGTGGTCGGCAAGACGTGGGCGCGGTACGGGTTGAACGCGCGCAGCGCCGAGCACGCGTACGGAGCCTACCAACATGACGTTCGTGATCACGAGCGCCCTCGCGACGTGTACCTGGACATCGTAAAACACATTCGAGTACAGTGCCCGCCGTCGAAACCGGTGCAGTCCCACGAGAAACGCGCCGTGGCACAAGCACTGAAGCAAGTGCTGGTTGGCGATCGGTCGCGGGCACCACGTCGTCGTCGAAACGGGAAAGAGTGTGTCCGGCTCGGCAGCCGCCGCAAGGTCGTGCTGGTGCTGTCGAAGCGCGAGCTTGTCTCCGTCGTACGTCACGCACGAAAGCGTGCCAAGGCGCAGGACGATCCCGTGGACAAATGCCCAGTCTGTCGTGGATTCGATGGAGATGTCGACAGCCACAACGTCGCCGTCGTGGCGGCCGCGCAGTTGGAGCACCGTATCTCGTGACGGCGAATTGGCTAGCATCGCGGTGGAAGGTCCATGCGAAGCCGTCGAAAACGCGGCGGCACCAACAACAAAACAGAAAACCACACCACCAGAAGGCACAGAATCGAGCACTCCCGCCGCCACCACAAGCGATACAATCACATTGCGCGAATGGAATGCCGTCGGCGATCGACAAAACAATGCCGTGGCACGTCGCCGGACGCATCCCACGTTCGTCTCCCGCGACCTGTCGGAGCCGGCAATTCCAAACGGCACACCACGAAAACGACTCGAGTTACGTGGGTAGAATCATCGCGAGTACCTTTATCGACGTAGTACGATGCGCGAATGCTGTCTTCGTTGTCTGGTGGCGACCCCATGGATTTCGAAGCAATTGGCTCGGGAACAAACAAGATCGCGTCGAATTCGCCCAACTCGAACGAGTACAGCGGGGGATGGGCCACGTCCAGGTGCGACATGTACACGTTCCACGTGGTCGCATTGCCCACCAACGTCCCAAACAACGTGGCAAACCCAAAGTTGGGCGAGGGCAGTTGAACATGCACATGCATCGATAGCTCTACAATGTCGTGGATCGTTGTTGCCGGCTACATTGCGGACCTGGCAAACAAGGACGGGATTCGATCGCAAGCGTGTGGATGGACGAGAGAGCGAGCGTCTCTTCCGAGACCGCGTCACGTAATGCCAGTTGGGCGCCAGTTCTACGGCCAACGCACGAGTGCCACCACTTTGTTGGAAATCGCATCGGGCGATGCACACGTTGGAGAACGCAGGACACACCATACCTGTCAAAAAGCTTGGACGATATCGTGTTGACGATCGTGTTGAATGTGCCACGGCTAGTCGGTTGTCCGATCCCGAGATGGGGTGTTGCCAACGAAATGAAGTTCTAACACGACAACGTTTGACGATCGAGCGAAGATGGCGGCGGTGCACCATGGGTTCGATGTTGACGAAGAAGCCGCGGGCGTACAAGACACCAATGCAGTATCGGACGTAGAGTCCGCCGAGGGAGTGCCCGATGAATGAGATCTTTTGCAACCTACCGCCACGATCAAAAGTGGATGGAGTGAAGGTACGGACTTGGGACACTGCGCTACAAGCATCTCGACTTCGTCGGCGAGACGAACGCCACCAAGGTCAATGCCGTCATGCGTTGTGCTGAAGTCCTTGCAATTGCTTTGACTCGCCACGACATGGACACCTGGATGAGATACTTCACAACTCACACGGCACTCACGCTCCAAGTACCTTCATCTTGGAGAACGGACGCCAATATTGGCTGCAGCGACGCATAGTCTTTCGGGCTGCCGTGCAATCCGTGCTGGAGCACGACCAAGTGCACTGCTTCCTCGAGCGCCAAGGACTGTTCGTACCGTCCCGCCATCGTGGCGGTGGATGCGATTTTGAAGCTCGAGCGATTTTTTGTTGATTTCGACTCCATATTTTTATTGGTACGGCAATATCAAAAGTGAAAAACTTGAGTAAAATAATATTCCTCCGTCCTATTCTGTTGTACAAACATAGTGACTCGTCGTAACTAAAAAGTTTGGATATGAAGGTATCTTCGCTTCAATACATTAAAATTCGAGAATTTATTTAGTGTTCGATTCGCACACACGTGCAATGACATGGCGCGCCATTTCCATCGCTCGAGGACCGACGGAGGAGACAGAGGCGGAAGGATGCCGGGAGGCTAATTGAATCTTAGCTAACTACCCGTATTGAGGAAGATTGAATCGTCGATGTCTCGGACGCGGCCTCGCTTCCCATGCGCCTTCGCCCAGGACCCTTCTTCCGTTGTCTGTTATACACCATGGTGTCTGTGGGCACGCTGTAATCTCGAAGGGAGGTGTACGACGCTCGACCTTCGTCCACAGACTCTGGCGCTACGCTAAGGAAGTCCTGGAACGCTGCACTTGCTCGGGCGACAGTGTGAGATGCCGCTGCGTCCAGAATGTCTTGAAAACTTGCCCGGCGCTTTTCCAGGACTTTGGTGTCATGCTTTCGGAGAAAAGACCACACGCCAGCGGACGGAAGGGGTGGCAACGTCGACCCTGATGTCGTGAAGCGAGAGAGGAGACTCGTGCGGGAAGCCATGACATCGTCGGCGGTGTCTAAGGGCATAACCTTGGCCAGATCGAGGTACAGCACGCGAAAATCCGTGTAGCGCCGCCTGATGGTGTACGTCCCTGTCGAGCTCTGCACATCGACGTGATACATGACGACGCCGTCCTTCCCTACGGAATAGCTGGTGACTGTAAGGTCGACGAACCGAGGCATGGTGTTCTTGAAGGAGTCTTCGACGACAGTGGAGGGTGTCGGCGGAAGCGACTCGTTGGGAGTGGCAGCAGTCAGCACGTCCGACGCCTTGATCGTCCACATCAATGGCCTGTTCCCAGCCCAGCAAGCCGATGGGAGTGGAGAACTGCGACACCCATCATCGCCGTCGGCGGGCCAGCTGGCTTGAACGGGCTGCCTCGCGTTGTTGAATTTTTTCAATCTCATCCCAATGGCACGTTTTGATTGGACAAAACATTGACTTTGGATACCCCTTCAAGATACAAATAATGAAATTGGATTGGCTATTTCTTGAAAAGTCCAAAATGCAGCGATGCCATTGGTTAATTCAAGCTTGGCTGGGACACGTCAACGTGATGGATTTGATTGAGCGCCCAACCTCATCCGAGGCCAGCTGGACGATCAAATGGCTGCATCCGCGAGCCGCCGCCTTCATGACGGCCGCGCAGGCGCATTTTTATCGAGTTTCATGCGACAACTCGTTTCGCCACCTAGTGCATTGTTTTGGCGCCGACATCCACGTCAGATTCACCCACAAAGCATGGATAAGCCACCACGTCTTTCGACGTTCGTCCATCGTAGCCCGTGCTACACATGCCAGCCACCCTTCTTTCGAGTTGTACAGCTCGAGAGGGCTTGTAGCAATGGAGTAGTCCGTCTCTGAGAGTTTGCAGCCAAGAACTAGCGCGAAAACGTGTGTGATGTGGTTTACATCGTGCGGTATTGCAAAGCATGAATAGATATTGTGTGGCATGGAGGAGGGGGGGGCGCACGACGAGCGCGCTCGAGCACTGTCAGGCCGTTCAATTCAGCGTCGTTTCCTTCTCCAGCAATTCCTTGGACGCGGTGAGAAATGCCTTGGAAAACTCTTTGGACCGAACAGCGTTCGACCGCACGGACAGCTTGAAGCCGTTTTTGGCCTCGCACTCGGCGTTCGCCAAGTCGTGGAGGAGCTTGGCCATGGAGAGCGTGTTCTCCGCCGCCGTAGTCGACGACACGTCTTTCGGCGGAGTTGCAGTACGCGTGGGAGCACTTTTTGGAGGCGACGACGCAAAGTTGAGCTTGGCGCTGAGGGTGTGTACCAAGTGCGCAAAGGTACTCGACGTCACAAACTCTTCCAAGCGGGCGGTCGAGACGACCGTGGGGCTGTCTCCAAGATCGTCAGGCTGGTCCGTGGCGTTGTAGTTGCGGGGCTGGTCTGGTCCGCCATTGTCGTGGGCCACGAGGAGGTGCTGCGACTGGAGTTCCTCCCACGCAGCCGTCGTCAAAATCGACGCATACCGCGTCGAGTGGGTTTTGTTGTGCGACCGATCCAAGAACGGCATGCCGTGGTGGCCGTGGACGAGGCTCCAATGCATCAATTCACGAAAAAACACCAGCACGTCCTTCTTGCCCAGGCCTGGCTTGGCGTGAAAGGCCAGTTTGTCAAATCTACGACACACCCCCATCAACACCCCAACGCGCGCCAACTCGTTGCCGAGCAACAGGACCAATCATGCACGCAGTCAACACACTGGGAAGCCCTCGTAAAAAGTGTGGATGTGCCAAAACGACAGCCCTCGGCACGCACACCCATCCACTATTCGACATACAACACAAGCGAAAGCAAAGTGACAAACGATGGGCACATGCACGATCTGACCAACAACAGCGATACGTACACGACAGACACGTGTTCTTTGGGCAGTGTGGTCGTTCCGGGTGGTGAAAACAGCGTCTCCCACAGCGATAGAGGGGGCGCGGCACGGCCATCGACGGCGCTGGTCGAGGAACTCGCCGCGAGCGAATTTTCCGGCCATGGGCGGGACGTGGTGACGTGATGGCGGTCCATGTCGACAAGGACGTCGAAGGGGTGGCAACCTCGGAGGGGGCGGTGGAGGGCTGATTGATTCACGTGCACGGATCGCTTGGCGCCGTGGATGGCTTTTTGCAGCCGACTCGACGACCCTTCCAAGTCGGACGTCGAATTCTTGATGGCGTCGACCATGTCCATCAAGTCGGCTTTCATCCGGGCGACTTTGAGGGACGCGGTGTCGGCACACAGGTGAATCTACTCCACCACGGTGAGCCAAAACGATGGCGGACGACATTCGAGAGCAGCGCGTGCCTGCTTGTCAAAAAGGACCTGGAATGCATCGAGAGCGTGACGGACATTCTTCATCGCGCCTTCGATCGCATATACTTCGGACTGCGCCGAGACGAGGAACGTGTTTGCCTGGACGACCACGCGTTGCTCAGCCGCGCGCTCGCATACGGTTTGGTGGCGTACCTGCACCAACAAGTGTTGGGCTCGCGCGGCCTGGGGCGACGTCGCACCGACCGGCGTTGCCATCTTCTTGTGCTTTTTTACTTTTCCCTTGGGCGACTGGGAGGAGCCAAACCCTCCACTGATGTGCCCGCTCGTCGTGTGCGAGTACACCACGTCGTCTTGGGCTCGCAGGGCCATGGATGGATGGCGCTGTCGAGTCGGTGGTGGAACCCCTCGAGGGAAGTCGATGGTGCGGATGCCAGTTTCATGCATGGGACGACGGTTTCACCGACGGGGAAAACTCTCATCGCCTGGAAATAGGTGGTGGGTGGCAGGATCGAGATTTGGGGAATCCAGGCGTCGTCCGCCGAACGACTGGCTTGGCCATGCTGTGCCGCGACTACTGGGCGCGATGTGTCGAGTGGTCCACGACGCTGCATGCATGCTCGAGGGAACGAGACGGTTGGATTGGGATGACTGTTCCGACAGGCGAACGTTCTTCACCCAGATGAGGTCGTCATGCAGTCGTCTCATGGCAGTACCAACAACTGCATGACGCAGAGCCAGAGCGCCTCCATTCGCCCCTTCAGGACATGCAGCAGCAGCAGACATATGGGCTCGAGTTTATGCATGGAGCCACAGGGGTGCCACATCCTGGAGGGCTTTGCCGTCTCGCACACGACAAAGTGAGTGCCATCTATGGAGGCTCAAGTCGCCTATGGGAACCCTCCATGCATGCGAAGAACCACCACTGCTCGAAGTCGCAACCCCCCCATGGCCGTTTGTTTCGAACCCAACGACTTGCGGCCGTGTACGTCGTGAATGCACTGGTGTGTGCTGCGACGTAGTTATGCACAGCTTTACCCATGCCCCCCTCGGCCGATTACGTTGAATATGATCTATTGAACCTACGTCCTTCTGTTTCCCTGTCGACTGCAGCGTGGTTGACCACTGCGACACCGTCGTCGTTGGTGACCTAGCAATCTCTTGCTTTGGCAATGTCTAGCGCCTTCATTTCGGACAAGTAGGCCGGGTTCACGCCGGCGGCTTCGAGGTCGGCGACCTCCTGGATGCGGATGTTTTCGAGCTTTTGAAGTTCGTCGGCGTACTCTTGCTTGAGCGCCTTGCCTTCCAGTTGCACTTTGACATACCTTTCTTTCGCGAGAACTTGCTTGTCCTCGATCTGTTTTTGGAGTGCAATGCGGTGCTCTGCCCGTTTCTTGCTGAGCCGCTCCTCGTTCTCTTGGAACGCCCGCTTGTCCGACTCGACTTGGTCAATGATGCTTTCGTACTCTTTTTTTTGCTGGAGTGCTTCTTGGATTTTGGACCGTTGGCGGTGCATCGCTTGGGCTTCGCGAGAGATGCGCAGCTCGTCCATTTCCTTCTTCATCTTGCGCTCGTGGGCGAGGTCGGCCTCTCGCGCAGCGCGTTCGCGGGCTTCCACGGCTCGCTTGGCGCGCAACTCGTCGAGTTGGGCCTTTTCGTTGGCTGCTCGTTCCTGCGTCGACCGGAGCTTGGCACACCGGAGCTCGGCTTCCTGTCGCTTACGTGCATCCTCTTCTTCACGCAACCGGGCGTCCTCGGCCTTCTTGCGCTGGTACTCGACAACCTTTTCATCCTCGAGCGCAAGGAGGCGCGCGTGCTCGGCTTTCTTGGCCATCGCGGCCTCGTTGAACTTTCGCACTTCCTCCATGGACCTTTGCGCCCGTGCGACCTTGTCCTTCTCGCGTGCTTCTTCGTCTTTCTGCGCTTGGCAAATCTTCTCGAGCATTTCCTCGCCCTCCTTTTCAATCATCTTCTGCGCGCGTTCTTTGAACTCGCGCCGCTCCTGGATCTGCTCCTCGAGCACCTTCCGGTCGTGCATCCGCTTGGCCTTCTTTTCTTCCGCGACGTCTTCTTGTCGCTTGAGGCCTTCGAGGCGATCCAGCTCCATCATCAAGTTGATCTGGGCATTGTGTTTCTCGTCGTCGTCTTCGATCTGCTTCTTGCGCTTGATTTGCTCGTCGCGGATCGTAAATGCTGCTGCCCGCGCCCCCAATGTCTTCATGAGCTTGACGCTGTCGTGCGCTTGGTCTTTTAGAATGGCTGCGCGCTTTCGGACCTCGTCCTTTTCTTGGTCAAAAAGTTGCTCGATGTCCGACTTCGGCGCGCGCTTGGCGGCGTCCGCCGCCCGCTCCATCATGTGTTGCTACCCAACGACTGACCCGTCAACGCGTCGACAAGATCACTGGCTACCTTGCGCGCTTTGGCGTGCATGCGCATGTTTTCCGCATCTGCCTCCTTCTTGGCTGCAATGGCTTCGAGCTCCGAATCGGTCAAGATCCGTGTCTCGTTCTAGACAGAGTCCGTGAGTGGCACGAAGCACATCCCAAATATATAACACACTCGAATGCGTTGCAGTTCGTCGATGGGAAGTACAGCCGATACGTCACCGGCCCTCACGCGCTTTGGCGATGCACCAGCTTTCGACGGCTGGACGCGATGGGGTGGGTCGACTTCTTGGTTGGTGGAGCCATTCACGATTTCACTGTTGTTCATGTCACTCCAGTGCTCAATGAATTCAAATATGCTTCAAAACGTACCGCCCTGCGAGCTGACTTCGCTTGGCGCCGCCTCGGCTACCGCTCGCAGACGACGACGCCCGCGTCGACCCAAAAAGTGTGTCGTCCACGCTCTCCTTGGAAGCAAGCTTCCGGTACTTGCGGTTCTGGTTGTTGGAGCGAGAAGATGTAGACGAGGTAGCCATGCTGCGCGACGACATCGGCTCCATCTCGGTCGGCGCGCTCTGGAAAGCCGATGGCGAGGCGTCGGCGGTTTCACGGTGGAACCTAAAAATATGCTGTGAGAAATATTTTTATATTTTACATCACCACAGTTTCGCGGAAAAAGTAGCAAATATTTCTGCATTTACACGATTTTCGCATGTTTTGAATATATTTGCAAATTTCAAACATGAGCCCGACTCGCGTGGACCTGCTGGACGAGATCTCCGCGGTCGACGCGCACTTTAGGCTCAAGTGCATCCCAGCCGCGCTTGGAGAAGCCGTATCGAATCATGGGAAAGCCAAGACGACACCCAACTTCGTCTTGGTCGAAGATAGGCAAGGATGTGCAGGGGCCGGCCGCGTCATGCTCCAACATATCGTGGACCAACTGGCACTGTCTGCTCGGACCAAGCATTTTGTGCACGTGCATTTGGTACGCGAGAAGGAATGCATGTGCGAAAGATAGGCATGCAATCGATAGGAAACGGACAACGGCGCCCCAGTCGACGGCACGACGTCCTCCCACCACCACATCCACTACGCGGGGGACATTGGTGGCTGGTTTGCCGTGGACAAGACGGCTTCTTTGCTCGAGCGCATTCGTCGCGACGTTGAGGCGCAAGTGCATGCAGCATCGTCTCTATCAAGCGTCCTGGCTGTCGTCGTGGTTATCGATTCGTTGTCGGCATTGCTCCAGCAGTTTACAATGAAAGCCGTGTCGTCGCTGTTGACTCAGTTGCACCAATGTAAGTCTGCATGACCTGCTTCCATCTTCTATATCCACGTGGGACTGGATGAAGTTGCTAGCATGAACACGTGCCCGTGCGTGGAGCGCCGACATCTCACATGGCTAATACGCGTTAGCTCGTCATGTGATCGCAGTCGCGTCTCGGGTAAATGCCTCGTTGCACAAGCCGGCCGTGGCGCTCTGTCTCCGTGTACATCGCAAGCTCTTCCTCAGTCCTAGCATTGATCTCACCACGATGGTAGAGCTTGGCCAAGACGATCGTGAGCGTCGACATGGCTGCATCCCTTGCGTCGTACCCGCTCTTCTCGATCGAAAGCAAACGCCGCGTGCCGGTCGGAATGCATGGCCTGGTCATTTTGATTCGAAAGCTCGCGGTAGTGTCCCTTTGAGGTGTATTCCGCCCCCCGTCATGGTGTCGATGGCTTCTAGAACGGGCAAACGACCGACGTCACCGAGTACTTTGAGTTCTTCCCACGAGATGACGAGATGCCGTCGGGCACAACACGGTCGTTGGTCATGCACACGCAGCAAGTTGCAGAGCAACGCGCGAAAGCGGCCACTCAAACCCAAGCAACCGACACACCGCTAGGAACTCTCCTGTCGGACTTGACGTTCAATTTGAACGTCACTCGCCGCGACGACGATTCGCGGAGACAAGTCGTGCTGCCGTACCAACATCAAGGCAACCCACCGCCCCACCGCGGCGACATGCCGCTCTTCTACATTGATCAGGACGACCCCGACTGGGATGACGACGACCTAGACGACGACTTGGACATCTAACGACCTAGCAATACACAACGAACTGAATTCGCCCGAGTGGGTTGCAGCACGGCGTATTCCCCAAAGTCGCTCAGGTGCTCGTCGTGCAAGAAAAGTGTTGATGGCAGGACGTCGTCGTACTGCGCCATCTCGACAGACAAGTGCCATCACAAGCCACAGCTGTGTTGTAGTTCGTGCTGGGCAGTCGGTGGTCGTTCGTTGCACAACAACGTTTGTGGCCATGCATATTGCTCAACTGCAGCGTCGTTTTAGCGCACACATGCGCATGGATCACCCGCACTTAAGCTTGTCGCCGCGTTGGGCGTCCACAGACGCATGGATGGCTCTGCGCGCTTATGGCTAGCCGCACTGTCATACTTGTCGACGAAAGGTCGTCTGGTTGAATCGGTTACACGTACTACTGGGCAGTTACACCAACACGCCGCCATGAAGCAGTCGCCGACGACGTCGGGCCATCGGTTGTCGCCGATCGAGGCGACTCGGGCGAGTGCGATCATTGAGGAAGCGATCGAGAAGCTGTCGTTCTTGGGAAGCATCACGCCCGACATCTTGCAGCACCGTGAAGAGTTGTCCCAGGTCGTGGGCGACGAGATCTCTCGCATCATCCAAGATCAGCGGCGGCTCGAGGCCAAGTACGAGAGCCTCATCTCGCAGCGCAGTGTGCTCAAGGTACGGTGCGCGACCTTGAACTCGATGCTTTGAAGGGGGACGTGTTCGTAGGGGCTGGCCAACAAATCCAAATTCAAGGAGAACCAGCGAGACATCCAAGAGGTCAGTCGCGCGTTGCGCGAGTCTACGAGGAGTCTGTGCCGCAACCTCAAGGTACTTGACGACACCTTCAAGTCCGCCGTGCGGAGCTCTCCAACTCGCTGCTAGGACAACCCCAACTTTGGCGGCAATTTGATGAAAATCCAATACGAACGACAGGGCTTGATCGACTTGCTCGAGGAAACCAAGCGCGAACTCAAGTCGTGCACGTACGACGCGCTTGTGACGTACGTGACGGAAGGCAAGAACGCAGCGGACAAGGCGGCCGACCTCATCGAAACGGAGAAGGAAGCGGCGGAGGAGGTGAAGCGGTTGACGCAGGAGCTGGCGCGCGAAAAGGCAGAGCACACGCGCGAAGTGTCGGAGCAAAAGGCAGCGATCGCACAACTCAAGGAGCAGCTACTCCAGGTCAAGTCCAAAACGCAGATCGACATTCGGTACGCGCGGAACGAAGCCAAAGCGAAGACGGCGTCGACGTCGCGGTTGTACCAGCAACTGATTGCCGAGCAGCACGACAAGATCACCGTGTTGGCGACCGAATGCGAGACAGAGGGCCGCGTCCACGACGAAACGGTGGCGTTTCTGCGGGGGAAGCACGATCGGCTCACGCACGACTTGGCGCATTGGACGGAAAAGTACGAGGCGGACGTGGCGGCCAAGCAAAAGGAGCTGGCCAAGCTCACGGACGAGCGCGCGGCCAACTTGCTCAAACTGGAGGGGCTCCAGAAGCGGTGGGTCGAAGAGGTCGAGCTCCAAAAGAACAGGGAGGCCGAGAAACGCCGATTGAAAGAGCTCGAGCTGCTCAAGCGCGATGAAGAGAAGAAGCACCTGATTGCGATTCGGAAAATTCAGATCGCATACCGCATGCACAAAGCGTACGTGGACGACAAGAAGAAAGCTGCCGACGCGGGCAAGAAGAAGAAGGGCGGTGGTAAGAAGGGAAAGAAAAAGTAGTAGTTTGCACGACGGAGGAGGATGGACCCCAACACCACGAATCGATCCTTTGCATTGCACACATGAATCTAGCGACGCCGTCCTCGCCTCGTCAGAGTTGTGACCGTCGACCGACGCCGCCCGCAGCGCTAGCTCGGCAACGACGTGAGGACGGTGTCGAGCCAGATTGTCCGAATGTCGAAGGGGGAGCTCGGCTACTGTTGGGGAGATGCACAGGCCAGTTGGTCGTCCTTGCCTGCAAGTGGCCCCCTCCTTCGCCCTTGTCACAAGCACCACAGCCTGCTCTACTTCCACTTGTTTACGTGTGTATCGCCCCTCGGCGGAGCCTCCCCCCCCACCAAGCGCCTGACAGCCCCCTCTTGAGAACTCGTCCGAGAGCAAATGCAAACGTCGCGCGATCTAGCTGAGTGGGGCTGCGAGTTGGAAGGGTCTCTGCAGGGTTTCCAAGCGTGGACGCGGCTGAACAAGTGGGCGCCAGGGTTTCGATCGTTGGTGGCTGGTGAACAAAGCTCGTGCCTTCACGATGTGGTGGTAAAAATAGCACCGCCGAGTGCTTTAGCTCGTGTCGTCGTTCTTGCGACGAGGATGCTACTGGCGTCGCCATCTCTGCCGCAAGCGCGGGAAGAACAGCGCATGGCGCGAGGTGTCGGTGGGGTGACGGTGGATGTGTCCCGTGGTCTGCGCCAGCCGTCCTCGAAGGCTTGCATGCATATCGTGGACGGCGGCGAGATCGCGAGGTAACGGCCTGGTGCAGGCACAAGTGGTTACGCGGCGTATAAATATCTCCCGGCTGTATTCGTGAAAAGGCGCCTGATCGCCCGAGTGTGTGCGCCGAGGCATCGCCACGTCGTTGTCGTCGGGGTTGGTGCTTGTACAGTTCGCGCTCGCTTCGCGTCGTCGCCATCCCACAACGGAACCGCACCGCCCCCACAAACTTTTCCGACTGGTCGGACAGCATGGGCAGTGGTGCAAGCAGTCTCCAGCGGCGCGGGAGCACGACCGGCAAGGGTGGCGGGAAAGCGCCATCGAAAATGACAGGCCGCGGTGTACCCGCGCCCCTCGTGGCCGCCAACACGCAGTGGAAGATGGTGCCCCAAACGATCTCTCGAGACAAGTCGCTCAAGTCGCTCGACGAAGCCGAACTCAACAACATGCTCAACGACCCCGTGGGCCAAAAACACATTGGGAACTACGCCAAGAAAATCCTCACGTCCGAATCGTTTTACTGCTGGATCGAGATCCTCGAGTTTCGCGACGCGCCGTCGTCGGGGTACCAGCGCAGCGTTGCCAAACACATTTACAAAAAGTACATTCGCGAGGGCGCGTCCATGGCGCTGGGCGGCCTCACGCGCGAGATGGTCGCCGACTACGACGTACGTTGTGCCCACCACTACCCATTCCTTGACGTGGTGGCGTTGCTGTAGCAAAAACTTGCAGTCATCGACACGGCCCTGATCAACCAAGACTTTTTCGCGCCCATCCAAAAGCTGTGCTTTGACGACATGTGCCGCAACACGTACCACCGGTTCAAGTCGTCGCCCGAGTTTGACTTGTACAAACTCGAGCTCAAGGACACGTACAACAAGGTGACTGTCGACGACTTTGACTACCTCGAGCTTCTCGGGAGCGGGGGGTTTGGCCGCGTGGTCCATGCCCGGAAAAAGTCCACCGGCAAGCACTATGGTACGTATCGCGCGCCAGTGTGGTGATGGATATGCATGTTGCTGTGCTTCTTGCCTGTGTGGATCGAGAGCGAATGACAAGTCAAGATGGAGCATGTCGGGACGGCTTGCATAGCCTCCCCCCGTCCAAAGCGATGGATCGGGGAAGGGGGCAGGCACAATGTTTCTGTGATGCCTGTCGAGGTTGTCTGAATCGAGCCTTCCGGCCTGCTTACAAACCAGACGGGGCTGTTTGTGTCGATGGCCGACAACTGTCTAGTCAAGGTGAGGGGGGGCGGGCGGCTGCATGGCACCAGCCCCCTACCTGACCGCTTGGCGCCTCCTCTATCCGAGAGCTTGTTTGTGGCTGTATTTGGGTGGAGCGTGTCGTACGTGTTGAGGGACATGCTTGACGTGTGGGAATTCACGATGGCGGGCTCATGGTTCGACCTAGCGATGAAGATCCAGCTGAAAAATGGTCTGCTGCACGAACACCAGGATCAACTCGACCAGATCACGTCGGAGAAGGACATTTTGCAGATTTGCAACCACCCGTACATCCTCGACATGCACTACAGTTTCCAGACGTCGGCGCATGCAATCATCGTGACCGAACTTGTCCGTGGTGGCGACCTGAATGAGCTCATGAAGACGTCGAAGAAGGGGTACCTGCCGGAAGGCCGCGTGCGGCTGTACGCGGCCGAGATTGCGCTCGCACTCAACCATTTGCACGAACTCGGGCTCATCTACCGCGACTTGAAGCCGTGCAATGTGCTGCTCGGGGAAGATGGGCACATCGTGCTCGCCGACATGGGGCTGGCCACGGGACTGGAAGAGATTCGAGCAAAGAAGCGGGAAAAGGAGCGGCTGGCGGCAAACGAGTCGAAGGACACGGAAGAAGCGCCGGCATCGTCGCGGCAGCTCACAGACGCCGAAGAACAGAAGCGGCGTGACGAAGAAAACGCCGCGCCATCCACAAATAGCCAGCTACAGAACATCCCCAAGTCGTTTGCACGCCCACCCGATGCCAAATACACACGCCGCAAGACGACGGTCGGGACGAAAGGATACATGGCCCCCGAGCTCATCTCTGGCAAGCTCTTGCGACGGGAGGAGCGGCCAGGGTACAATTACACGATAGACTACTGGTCGCTCGGCGTCACCGTGTACGAACTCGTGTGTGGCTACCAACCGTTCAACTTGTACAACGTGCTGGGCGATGGGTTTCTGGCCGAGATCGCGCAGGAAGTCGAAGTCGCCAAGTTGAGCCCGCGGTCGCAGTACCGCGCCGAACTGGAGCGGATGGCGGCCGGCGTCGACTACCCCGAATACGTACGACGGTGCCACTCGTGGCGGGGGGCTGACCTGTGAACGTAGGTGTCTGAGGACGTTCGCGACTTTATCAACAAGCTGCTCGACGTGAACGCATCGTCGCGCATGGGGTGCACAGCGCGGGGCTTTCTCGACATCATGGAGCACCCGTACTTTAAGGACTTGGACTGGGAGCGGCTCATGGTCAAGCATGTCCAGCCCGAGTTTACGCCAACGGTCAAGCCCCTCACGGACCGCAAGACGTACTCGAACTTTTGGAACATGATGGCGCACTTCGACGCGCGAGACAAGCATTTTATCCGACGTAAGTGCCGCTCGCGGTTCTGGCTAGGACACTGCCATGGCGGGTCACGTCATGATGTGTGTCTATGTGTCTAGATGACTGGTACCAAGACCCGCCGCCCGAGAAGCAAAAGGCGTTTGAGCACTGGGATTACATCTCGCCGCACACGCTCAAGGCCGAGCTCGGGATTGCTGCGGAAATGGACGAATCCAATCGACCGTACAAGATCCTTCAGCTCACAGGCGAGACAGCAGGGTAATTGTCGTGCGCATCGACCAATAGAGCGACAAAACCCATGGCGCGCCGTCGTCCGGCGGCTAAGATTGCAGCTCAGAGTGCTGAATAGAGTTGCTGTGTGTTTGTACAGAGCCTTGTTTGGCGTCCAACGAGTCCACCCCAACGCAGCACCAGTCGGTGCCATGGCCAACTAACTGGTCAGTAGCGGCGGCCTCCATGCACCAGCGAGAGTTGTGGAGGTTGTGGCACCATTCGTTTGAACCGAGATTGCCAGAGGGGATATCGTGCCCTGTGCAGGATACACCACGTTCGACCATAGCGCTTACCCGACTCGTATCACACTGTTCGGCACGATGACACGATGGGAGGCCGCCTCATGTCGATAAAAGTGTCTAGCGAGCACAGGCATATGTACACCTCGCTCCAGTGATGCCAGCCACCATGGTCTCTACGCCTATACGCCGCGCCAAACTATGGCTTCGCCATCTCCCGGCGAGCTAGCGACGGACACGCACGTGTATGATAAAAGCCCTCAGCAAAAAATTAGAGTTTCTATGGAAGATGTATCCTCATGAAAGATCAGAGAGGTGGTACATTTTGTCATCACCGGGCTCGTTTGGTGTTCAACATGCACAGCAGCGCTGCTATGTCTCGTTCTAGAAGCCTGCTAGCCGCAGCCACCGTACGTGGACGGCGCAATTTTGATACTGATCGTCGTCGCTGATGGCTCGGAGGCCACTCGGCCACCCACCAACCAACCGCACAAGCCAAACTCAATCCACTCGTTTTCCCCACGTCGGATTGGCTGGAGTACCGGAGGATCCCTGGATTTATCCGGATGAATCCCCCAAAACCCCCGCGACAACTCGACGGCAAGTTCCTTTTTTTCGCCGACGCATGCGCCGCCAAGGACGCAACGCCTTAATCGTTGTCGTCTTGCATTCGTGTCGACATTGAACAGTATATAACTAGAGCAGCTTTGGCTATGATGTGGCTGTTGATGCTGTAAGGATGCGCGTGGAGAAGGACTACACGAGATTGGTGGCGATTCGGCTTGCGGACTTCCTGCCGAGGATTGTCACGTGGTGCGTCAAGTGGTGCAGTGGCACCAGCACGTTGTCGCAGCAACGGGGATGAGCTGTCTGTGACGAGAGTCGACGAAACCTTCCTGGGGGATTATTCGGAGGGTCGATCAGCACAGTGTTTTGACTATTTACTGGGCGAATTATGTCATTTTGTCCGAGAACAGTCCTAAAAACGCTGTACACATAGATATATTGACGCAAATACAGCTAAAATGACTGGCGACCTTTCGTAAGAAGATCGCGTGTGGTTCTGAACTGCTTCCAGCAATGGAACCGCGGCGGTCTCGCGAGTTGGAGGGGGCCGCCAAGTCCACTCCGACTTACAATATCGGAACCGCAACGCCGCCGAGCTTCACGTACGTTCTAGTGTGCGAATCCTTTCTCAATGTGCAGCCTGCTCATGTTTATGGACCAGGGCATCGGCAGCAAGGTATCAAACCGAGCTGGAACAACTCGCGTCCTTTGGCTGTGGGGAGCTCCCCCCGACCGAGTTGGCAGAGACGGCGCCGCCGTCATTTTATTCCCCTACCGTCAACGAGAAGCGACTGCAGTGGCGGCTGCAGCTGCTTGAGGAAATTGCACGCACAAAACCAGTGCCATCGACGACCAACCTGCCGCGACGCCACCCCACCACCCGCAAAAACGCGCCAGAGAGTCCATTGACCAAACTACGAGACAAGGTATAATACCTTTGTACACTCGAGTAAAACCATCACTTGACGAACCAGAGGGGAGTGTTGCAATCTCGATTACAAGCACAAGTGATGGCAAATGCGACTACGCAGTGAGTGCATCGTTCTGTCTTGCTAGCCTTATGCAATGGCATGTTTTTTGTAGGGGCTCTCTGAACATACAAATGGGAACGACAGTAGCTGAACCTGTTATACGCAACATGCATGCTCCTGGCCAGGCCATGGCCTACACAGACGAGATCGAAGCTCACAGGATCGCAACCCATGATCTCCACGAAACTCTATCGTTGCCATTGAAAACGTTCGACCAACAGGCTGTGCTTGCTGGACCGCCCGACATCGATATGTCGCCGCAACGACTCGACGACGACGAGCTGGTGAACGAGCAATTTTCCGTCAAAGCAGTTGCGTACAAGCAATTGCTGGAAATGTCTTTGATTCAGTGGCGCACCCAACCGCCAGCCTGCGACACTGGCGCAACAAAATGGGCAGCCACCGGGTCTCGACGCTACCACAACGCGCGGATCCATGCCACCAACCACAATGCACCCCGATCGCCATTGCAAGTCACGTTCGCTTCAAGTCTTGAGGACAATTCGCGGGGTGATTTGGAACGTCAGTTCCGCCATTCCACGACAGCATCAAGACACCTAGCTTCTTCAACAGCATGTTTTACCAAGCAAAGTTCTGGAACAGAGACGCAGCAACTCCAGCGCCTCACGCCTTGGCACTACGGCATCGAGCGAAGCCCACAGGCGAGCTCAGAAGTGTTCAAGGAAGCCTTCACGCAAACCTCCCCAACATGCAACGCGCCACAAACCCTTCCCCCCATGAGCGCCATCAAAAACAAAGTTTTACCGGGCGACCTCCACGAGAGATTTTCTGTCGACGGGGTGACCGTCCCCAATGCTGTCTTGGTCCACCCTGCCGAGGTGCAAGGTACAACAAGCTCTCGCTTCCTGTCTAACCATTTCAGTATTGTTTGTCGACATGATTGAAAACGTCGTGGTGGTGGAATCATGAATAGTTTGAGGCATCATGTCAGGCGGAGCGCGTCCCGATTTTGATGGCGTGGCTGTGTTAGATCGCGATGCCACCTGCACACAACAGACAGGTACGGCTAGCTCCAGCGCTGCGACCACCCAGCTGCAAGTCACAGATGTCTCTTTTGACGGCCACAGCGAGCTCGCTCGATGTATCGAACGCGATGAAGTTCCAAGCACGAGCAGCCCCTCGGATATCATTCCATGGACCCAAACCGGCGAAACGACACCGATGCGAGCTCACCCACAAAACTTGACAGCGCCTTGGACTTTGCTGGAAACAGTGCAATATGGCTTCAAAGTCTTCGACGGTGCTGCAAGTCAAACCAACGACTTGATTCGCCTGGATTCGGATGCATCAGCCGGTCGGAACATGCACTTCCTTCGAGACGGCGGTGCGCCTCGACCACTCGATGGTCTGCAGAGAGACCTTGATAATTCTGGTATAGCTGCCACAGTGATGAACCTTCCGCTCGACAACACCTCGATGGTCATGGTGGAGACGGCGTCATTCAGCAAGCTCGACAGCGCAACAGAAGAGAGCTTCGTCCAGCAGCATGTTGACGGAACGACCTCGACGACAGGACATGGAGCATTCCAGTGTTTGAAAGGTGCGTTCAGCTGTGGCAATGAGCTAGCTGAACGCGACCATCGGCCTTCGCGAACGTGCTCAAGTATCGGCGACAGCGGCGCTGGTACAAGTGCTATGCAGAATTGTGGATTCACCCATGCCAATGGTCGAGTTCGACCACCAAAGAACGACGTTTCACTCAATCTGGAATCAAGGGGTTGTTATTGCTCCAATCAGCGTCTCAATGGACCATTTTCAGACAGACGGACCCGTCCAATCCATTCGGCTGCCATCTCCTGTGTGGAATGTATCAATCACCAAACCCTGGACTCTTCATCACCCACCAAGTTGAGTCAATGCACAATTCCATCAGCCATACTGCTATCGCAGGAATCGTTCGCAAGCTGCGACTGCGGTGTTCTTGGCAAGGAGCAGTCAAGTTCACAAGGCAGCAGCACGTGCCGACCTAGCCAACATAAGAGCGCTCCCACATATCTTTTGCCAAATCGGTTGCGGCATGCAGGCTTGCCCAATTCGTTGTGGGCTGCAGGAATTGGAGCGTAATGGCGACTCTACTCAGAATCTCTGCTAAAATGTACGTCCTCGGTTTGGTTCCATGTCCAGCCAACATATCCATCGAGCGAACTCAAGTCGGCACCCCTTTTCAGTTGCATTTGGATTATCTCCTCACCAGTCGAGCGAGGTTCCTTGCGTCATGTAGTACGCAATCAGCGTGGCACATATCCAGGCGTGTTTGGCAAGCCCAATGGCATTTTCGCAGGAATTTTTTCATGCAAAGCAGTGCCGTTCCGCGACAAAGTTTGCTTGGCCAAAGGATCGCCGTCCGTTGCGCCGTGCGGCCGCCCAAGGTTGAAGCGGTTGCAAACCTCACCCTTTCCAAATGTCACTGTGTCTCGAATTTGATTGGGTGTTCGAAATTCAAGCCAGCGACCGCAGTCGGTTCGACATAGTCCGTCGATAACTTGACTTTGGCGAACAAGGCAGCTAATTTGACCGTTAGAGAGTTTCGACAACAGAGGAATTTCGTGCCGCCGACCAGTGCCGCCCGACAACGCCGCAGGATGAGCGAAGAGGGGAATGCGACGTCCTCTGCAGCTGCAACGCAGCCACTGGGACCCAGTACCAAGACAAAAATGAAGCTCCGATCCCAGTCCACGCGGGAGCTCGTACAGTCTGCGCGGGGCGTGCGTCGCAACACGTCATTTTCCACCTCGGGCGGCAATCTCTGGTCGCACAGCAGCCACGGCATGCGAGGGTCATCTTCGACGAACAATCTTGTGGGAATGACAAAGTCCGCCCCAGGGAAGAAAAAGGTTCGGGGAAATAGCATGTTTGCCGCCGACAGCCTCAGCATGACCGCCTCGACGACGTCGTCGCGGCGGTACGGTGGGAGTTCGCGGCATATGAGCTTAGCCCATACGGCCACGTCGTCGCTGGACTCGTTGATTGAGAAGAGAAGAATGGTTGCCCCCATGGTAACGCGCACAGGGTACACATGTGCCACATGCGGCTCAAGTCTAGTCGTTCAACATCCGGGCAACGACCATACCGCAATGGCCGGGCTGTTTCATTTGGACGTGGTGCGAAATCCCATCGAGGTGCCCACGAAAGGCAAAGACGACGGTAGCGTTGCAAACACCGTGAACCAGATCTGCGTCCGAGAACATGTATGGGAGAATCAATATTTCAGCGTGACCGAGTCGAAGTGGGGCCGCGAGTTTGTCGATCTTGTTGGGATGGCGCCATATTCCAGCATGGAATTGGAGCCGCTGCGTTCGTTGCCCGATCCATGGACAATTGGACACACGAGTGCGTGGATTGACGAGTGGGCCCCAGTGGCCGCTGTGGACGACCCCAACGACGGCTGGAAATACGCAGTGTCGTTCAATTCGTTCCTGAACGATGTCGACATCGACGTGGTGCCGGAGGTCGAGGAAAACGTCAAGCGTGCGCGGCGGCGGCAGCTCGTGCGCCATCGTACGATCGAGGACACGGAAAAGGGGTGGATGGGGGAGCTCAAGAATCGAAGGTTCGTGTCGATGATATGCCATGACAAAGACAACGTGCGGATGGCTTGATCGAGGTGAACTGATCTGAATGTCCGATACATTGTAGCTTGGCGCATTCGATGGCCAAGACGCCGCTCTGCCATCCGTGTGGGCTCAAGCTCCAGCAAGTGCTGCAAGCGTACGTTAGCCACCCGATATCGCGATCCCGCCGTCCACCCTCCGCTCGTTTCAGCAGACAGAGGAATAATCCGGCCGTTGGGTTGTAGAGATTTGGACAAGCTGAAGGACGAAGCGCGCCAGTACGATTTGTACCTGGCAAGTCTTGGCGCGCTCTCGACCCCGCACGACCGACCGACTCGAAGCGCCAACTCGAACCCGTCGGCAGCATCCACTGCCCTCGTTGTCCCCAACCACAGCAAAAGCTACCACCACCACCACGGGCAGAGTCCGTACTCGCACCACCACCACCCAAAGTCATGGCAGCGCAGCACCCCCGAGGATGCCATCACAACGTACGGCCGACATTCGCATTCCCGCCGGCTGCACGATACCGCCACCACGGGTACAATTGACCTCGACGAGCTATCGCTGGACGAGCTCCAGCGCGAGGAGGCGACGCTGCAAGCGCTAGTCCACGAATTGGATGCTGCGTGTGCCACCACGACTCGCAATCGAGACCTGGTGTGGCAATGCGCGATGGAGCTGCAGGGCGTGATCCAGACCACGTTTGCCGAAGCGGCGCTCATCCATCTCTCCCACGAGTTCACCCACGAAGAGCGCGCAAGCGTCGGTGTCTTCGGTGTGCACGTGTCCGACATGCTGCGGTGCTTGCAGCGCTACAACGTGTTCAACGACGCGTTCCACATTTGGCACGACGGGTCGTTCGGGACGATTAACGGGCTGCGACTGGGGCGGCTCCCGAGTCGGCCGGTCGAGTGGACCGAGATCAACGCAGCGCTCGGGCAGACGACGCTGCTCTTAACGACCGTGGCGCAGCGGGCGGGCATGGAATTCTCGAAAATCGTGCCGATCGCGCGCGGCAGCTACTCGAAAATTGTCGTCGTCCTGGGCAAAGACAAAAAGAAAGAGTACCCGCTGTACAGCGACGGCGGGTTCCTCCAGCGGCAAAAGTTCAACACAGCACTCAAGTGCTTGCTCGAGTGTGTCGAGGAAGCGGGCGGGCAGGCCGCCGCGGAAGAGCCGTCCCTCCGGTTCCCGTACAAGATCACGCGCGGCAAGATCGGCGACCTCAGCATTGAAGTCGGCGGGAACGACGAGCAGTGGACCCGCGCGCTCAAATATTTACTGACGCATCTCAAGTGGCTCCTCGCGTGGGTCGCCAAGCGATATCCTTAGACGTGGTCGACTGGTCATGGGCTGGCGCTCGGTCGAAGGGCGCGCAGAGATAGCGACCTCATTTAACAGCCCGACAATCGAACTTCCGACACTCGACGTCGACGCTACTTTGTCATGCAGAACGACGAATGCGAATCGCGACGGGATGGGAGACCGCACGCGAGGTAGTCGATAGAGGCGGGTGGGACCCGTGGATGCGTGGGACGAACGCAGTGGGGCGATCATTCATGAACGTACATTTGCCGAGATCGGCTCCGACACACGTGTCGTCGAACGCCGGCGACCGCATGACTGGGGTCGTGGTTTTTCGCCGCCCAAGGACGTTGTCAACGCGTCGGCGAATGCTTTACGTTAGTATCCAACGACTACGACAAGAGCGCCATCAGCGACTTGATGGCTTCCTTTGGGGTTTGCATGTGCGAGTAGCCCTTGAACTCGCTGGCGTGGAACGAGTCGAACAAGGACCCGCGAATTGCGTGGGAAACGTTCACCATTCGGTCGACTTCGTCCAGCGATGCCTCAAGGAGTTGCATCTACGTCGCGAACGACGCACGGTCAGCCATGGATGCGTAGAGAGAAAGACGGTACCTTGGTCCCAACGTCGCTGACGCTGGCGGCCAGCGATCGGTGCTTTTGGGCAATTTTTGACGGGATCGATGTAAACTCCAACGAGGCCGGCGACAACTGCGATGGATACGACTCGTTGGCGTTGTCTGTGCGCAATGCCGATGGCATCGAGTCGAGAAATTGTTTCCACTCGGCTTCGCACGCTGTCAAGCTATTCGGTATCATCAATGACTTGGACACCCACGTGCGATCCCACGAAAAGGGCTTCGTCGACAGCATCACCGCCAAGGGTCGGACGCGATCATGTGCGTTGTCGCAGGTACACAAAGGATGCTCGTTCGACCATACAGCATGGCAAACACAATCGATGTGTTGCGAACTCGACGGCAAAGCGATGAAAAGGATGAAATCGGAAGGCATACCTGTGTAATTTCGCTTCAAGGGACGCCACGACAGTATGCACGGCATTGCCGTCGTGTGCGTGGGTTGAGGAAGGCGCCGCCTAGATGAAGTTCGTGAGGGGACAGGCGTAACATGGAGGAGCGCACGTTCTGTACGACAAACTCACGCTTGATCGTATCAGCTGCTGCGTTCACTGCACGGAAACATGTTAACAAGGAATCGTTAGTGAAATGGACGTACACACGTGCACGAGCTGGGTCGAGTCCTTGCCAGGATGCATCGCTGTCACGTGGTGTTGGATCTTTTTATGAAGCACTCCGCATAACGCGTCAAAGATGTCGAGCTTCCGAGAGTCATTGGATGCCGCTAATTCCTTTCGTATCTGTGTTTCGACTGGGCTGATGCGCTGTGGTAGGGATTGTCGTGGTTGTTTGGTGGGTACGTTTGTGGGGGTCGAGTACACATCAGCTGTTGCGTCTGCCTGGCGACACTGTGTCGATGACGATGCAACAGCGCTTGATGCATGTTGTGTCGATTTGCCCTTGGACGACTTGGTTGCGTGGGACGGACCAGTAGTGGCACGGGTCGTGGCACCACCGTCGTGATTATTGTTTGGTCGCTGCTGCTTCTTCGTGAATACAAACGGAGACGCTTCTTTCTGCGGCGTTCGAAACTCAAACTTCCTCTTCCTACGTGCCACACCATCGCTTTCATGCCACGCTTCCTGGCCACGCACATGTCCGCATGCAGACGCACCTTTCTCGCGCGTCCTTGGTCATCTGTGCCGCCCCGTTTTGAAATTTAAAAACGACGGTTTTCACTGGGTACTTCCCAGCCAATCTAACGACGCCAGGGATATCCGGATAAAATATCCGTAGGGATATGACAGATTTGGCCCCGCTCGGAGCGGCGCAGTGTCGGTCGGTATATATGCCGGACCGCTGTCCTTCCATGAACGAAGGATCTTCTCACGCAAGCGCATGTCCCTCGAGACCACCTATGGTCGCCCTTCCATGCACAAGCTCAAATTGTTAGACGAAGGTGAACGAATGGCACTACTCTCCTCCGACGAACATGCGGCGTTGTGAAGTGGAGAATACATGGGTGAAGCGCCTGTAGTCATTGACTCTGGTCTCCACATCGTCAGGCTCCGTTGACCAAGTGTTCCATCGTGGTTTCCGTCCGAAACAAAGCAACCCATGACTCGGTGCCGTTGCCACCGCGATCTCACTCGTGCGACGCGTGATCCATACAAGGAGACTGCGTCCAGACGCCTCATGGACAACATCTAGTGAACACAAGACAAACCACTGCATGGAACAATGCTCCAGTTTTCGATGCTCGGCTTAACTGTACAGGTCTTCGTATTTGTTGGCGAACGAAACGTCCATGACGCTGAATCCTTCGTGCTTTTTGGTCGACTCCGCTTGAAGCAACGGAGTGATCGATCCAAAGGACGCAGCGATTTGCGACATCGTCGACGAAGTGTGGTGCAGCGTCACATACACTGTGCACTGCAAATGACGGAGTTCGCTCTGCTTTGGGGATAAGGCGATCACATCCAGAAATAACAAGGACAACACGTACGTAAGTAAGGAGCGCCGCTGGAATCCCCATGACGAAGCGCGGCGAGGCCAATATTGGGATGTTCTGTACGCAGATCGTGGGTACCGAATAACGACGAAGATGGAGACATTTACATGGGCAATCTGCTCAGCGAAGGAGGCCGACGTCTGGAGCATCCGCAACGAGCAAGTTTCATGCAATTCAGAGTCGTACGTCACAGACATTAATGTGCTGACGCTGATTACGCGCTGCGGCTCAATGTGAGCGAAGAGGGACTCGGTCCAGATCCACACGTCCTCGTCCGCCACGTCGAGGGGTGCAACGACGACAACTTTGTCGTTCGATAGAGATACGATCGAGCAGACGGCGGACGGGTCGAACGCAGATAAACTTGATTCCACCTACACAATCATACAACGCGTGAATGGATTGCACTTCCGCGTTGCATGAGAACGTACAATGTGTGCAGATGACAAGATGAGTGTCCCAAGTACTCGCGCTTCGGGAGTGTTTTCAACAACTCGTTGCATGATGTTGTGCGCATGTTGTCCAGTCGCAATGACAAGGTCCTTTGTTGTCAATCTGGTTTCTTTCTGGTATTTGAGGCTTGCGCGGACTTGCGGACTCCACTAAGAGTAGCTTGTCACGTCGCGAACGTATGTCAGACGAGTGGAGGACTTACGCGGAAGACAGCGGTCACAGGCAGCTTCGATGGGCCAGACGGCGACGTGGGGAACGGCGGCAAGTCGCTCAGCGGCGCGCGGGACGAAAAGTCCGCTTCCGTGGGGTACCGCAGCTGCAGCGCCATCGCGTTCGGTTTATGGAATGCCGCCCATGACAAATGCCCACATATACTGTTAGTAGTCTAACTAGTGATATACGACGACTTCATAATAAATCAAGTAGATCTCTAGTAATACTACTAGATATTCGACAGGAGAGGAATCCGCATAATCCGGATAATGCGTAGTATGCGAATGCACAAAGTGGGCGATTAAGGTACCGCCGCCATGGACACGTCCGACGATCGCGAGTGCGAGAACGACGGGTCCATCGGGAAGGACGGCTCATTGGAGGTCATTTGGAAGGACTCGCCTATGGAGAAGAAGCTCCAGGCAAATGGAACGTCCAATCGACATGCAAACCTATCGGAGCTGCGCGGGTTCGTGCATAGCTTGATTTCGAGTCCGTCGCCGAACAAGAACCCTCCAAAGGCGAAAGCGAGTGCTCTGTTGGGTGAAGTAAGCAGTGGCATAGATAGCAATGCCGCCGTCGTCAAAAACAATATCGCGCGCTTCATTGTTTTCAGCCCAGACCGTGCCACGACAACTGGTCACCACGACGCGATGGCGGCTGGTGCAACGACGGGTAGCTCAGCCGCCAAAACACCTCCGATCCATCGAAACAAGCGACGAAAAACAGGAGAAGAGCACGAGGATCTGTTGTCGGTCTTGGAAAAGCTCGACGAAGAGTACTCGGACACGCCGGAAAAAGGCACGACTGCTGCGACGACCACGACGGGATCATTCGACGATGAAGCGTTCGAATCGCCCTTCTCGAAGGAAGCATGGGAGGTCATTGAGCAAATCGAAATCAAAGCAACCCAGCAATCTATGCAAAAGCGTCAGGATTCTGCGCCGCAAGCAGCTCTGCCGGTGCAAACCATAAGCCCAGTGGGCGACACACTGAAGCCACAACCTCCACCGCCAACAGTCGCGCAACAGCTATCAGCCCATCGCGCGCCCATAGTCGTCACTCCACCCGTGGCTGCCCCTACAACCAGCACGCCAATCGACTACTTGCGCTGCGTAGCATTGGAGGTTCGAGTAGACGGCCGGCAAAAGGCTATTCGCGCACTGGATGACGCGACGGAAGCTACAATTACAATTGTCCTGCGAGACGACTGGTTTGACACACCGCTCCAAGTCGGGGACACATTCCATTTCATCTTGACGATGCCAGTGGTGGGACCACCGCCGACGCCGCTCGTGGCCGACAACCGAGCCCATCGGATCATCCTGCACCCCGATATTCTGGTGCGTGGAAGCATCCTTTCGAAATTTTGCGTTTACATCGGGAGCGCTCGGTTCCTAGGTGTCTCCAACGACAGTGACGGCAAGCATGAGTTGTTCGCGGCGGGCTGTACTCCAGCAGACCCTAACGATGCAGCGCAACGCAGGGCCGGTCGGGCTCATCGGCACTCTCAAGCACGAGCTCTTTCAGAAGGCGTTGGCTGCGAGGACGTACGCGATTCCGTTCTTGATCGAGCAGTCGCAAGAAGTGATCAAATCCAAGTCTGTAAAAAATGGCCGATGGGAGCTAGCGTCACAAGTTATTGTCGTAGTTTGCTCAAGCTCCTAGAGTACGGAGTGACGACCCAGCAAGCGGCGGATGAGCTGAAAGCGTCCTACCAGTGTATGTACAAGTGGCTGAATCAAGTACACAAGAGCGGCATTCGCGTCACATCGGGCCCGCCGCTGTACCGGTTGCATCACGTCCTGTCCATCGAAGAGCCGCTATGGTCACTCAAGTATGGCCTGAAAGGCGCCGTGGACGCGTGCTTGGCCATGCAACCATTCGATGGCCGCCGCGCCGACGCCACGACTCAAATGATGGCGTTCGAGCTCAAGACGGGCAAGCCGTCGCATTCCACTGAGCACGTTGGTCAAGTCCTCCTGTATACGCTGCTTTTGGACGAGCGATACCAAGGTACAGTCAGCCAGCGCATGGCGTCGATGACGTGGGAGGTGCGCGAGCATGGAAGCAAAATCTAACGTGATTTCCATGCAGGGAACGCGCAAGGGTTACTGCTGTACTTGCAAGATGTCGAGTCGACGGTCCTCCAGCAGCCAGTGGAAGCGCATATTCGCGGCCTCCTGCATTCACGCAACGTCCACGCGGCGCACTTGTTCCAGGCGCAGTCCCGGCAGCTCATGCCGCCGCTTCTGAAGAAAACGTGGGACTGCGAGAACTGCTTTGTCGCGACCGAGTGCATGGTGCACCACGCGGCGATCGAGCAAGGCAGCGCGGTGTCCAGGTACGATTTCTCTTGTGGGGAACCACGGCAAGGCATGCTTGCGATGGCGCTTGTAGCGGCGTCAGCGACGTGTTTGAAAAAGCTGCGGGCCACTTAACGGCGCGAGAACTGACCTACTTCAAAAAGTGGATCCAGCTCTTGGAGTGGGAAGGTCGTTGCAACCGTCACCCGCTGTGGCTACGCCCGACGGGCGCAGACGACGGGCCTTCCACCGCCGCGGCGTCGTTCCTGACCAAGTTGAACGCCCAACTCCACACCCCCGACGTGCTCGAACTCATCGTCGGGGACGTCGCCGGCAACTTTTTGCTGGCCGACCTCAAAGTGCAAGACCGCGTCGTTGTGTCCGTAAACTCTGGACCGTTTTCGATCTTCCACGTCGCCAAGGCGGCCGTCGCAGGTGCGATCTTGCCATGCCAGTGGGAAAGGTGTTACGTTGAGTTGCCGAGTGGTGTGCGGCGAGGGCACTGGAGTGTATGGTGTGGATTTGAGTGGCAAACTCGAGAGGATGCAAATGTTGTCCACAGCACGGGTGGCTGTGGCGGACCGAGTAAATATGGCGCTTCACTGACGGAGCCCCTTTGTAGTCGTCCAGCCAACGTGCCTGCGACTGGCGCTGTTTTCGCCGATCCCAAGCATGATAGTCGAAGGCCATTCGGTGGTCGGGTCGTCGTTTCACTACCGCGTCGACAAAGATACAACGTACTCTGGCCTCGAAGCAGCGAAGCGCAACGTGCTGAGCCTCATGGTGCATCCCGACATGGAGCCAAAGCGGAAGCTCATTTGCCACCTGCACCCGCCGCGGTTTGAAGCCGTCTCGGTGGAGGCCCGCCTACGCCGTCGATGCCTGGAACCGGGTGGCTGTCGCGCCGCGTGCGAGCGGTTATTGCAAGAGTTTTATTCGACCATGAACTCGGACCAACAACGGGCGATTGGCCAGGTACGGAGCGTTGTCTGTTGGCGTGTGGAATGAATGGATGGTGGTGGCGCGTTGTCGAGCCTTGACTGGATTGTGTGGCTGTGGTGACCAGATTCTCAATGCAAAAGACTATGCGCTGGTCTTGGGCATGCCTGGGACCGGCAAAACGACCGCGATCGCGATGGCCGTGCGAGTTCTCATGTACCTTGGGCTATCTGTACTTGTAACGAGCTACACGCACGCCGCTGTGGATAACATTCTGGTCAAGCTCCTCGACCAGAACGTTCCGATTCTTCGCGTGGGGGGCACACCAGCGCTCGTCCACCCACAGGTCGTGCCGCATCGACTCGAATCGACAGCGTTCGAGTCGGCCGAGGCAATGCGGGCCGCCATGGTGGCCGCGCCGATCGTCGGGTGTACATGCTTGACGAGCCACCACGTGATTTTCGCCCATCGCAAATTTGACGTGTGCATTGTCGACGAAGCGTCCCAAATCACGCAGCCTGTGCTCCTGGGCGTCCTCCAGCACGCGGCAGTGTTTTGTCTCGTCGGCGACCATTATCAGGTACGAAGCGCTGCACGGTTGCGAGGACACTGACGAGAGCGTGCGATGCCGTAGCTGCCGCCGCTAGTCGTGGATTCGCATGCAAAGCTCGGCGGCCTGGACTGGAGCCTGTTCAAGTGCCTTTCCGAAGCACACCCCCAAGCCAGCACCGTCCTGGGGTTTCAGTACAGAATGAACCACCAAATCATGCTCGTGGCAAATCGATTGATTTATAACAACCAGCTCAAGCTCGGCCGGCGAAACGCAGCGTGCTCGGACGCGGTTCATGGCGATGATCTGCCGACGGGCCCTCCACCCGTGCATGGGACTGGGGCAGCCTCCAAGATCCCGGCGTGGATCGCACAAGTGCTGGATGCGCGTCGCGGCGTCGTATTTCTGAACACCGACCGCATTGCCGCGGGCGCCGCGCCAGCTCATGCCAGGTCGACCGGGCAATCCATGATGGGACTCGAAGCTCGTGAAGGAAGCAGTCGTGGCCTGGTCAACTCCACGGAAGCCAGGCTCATCATGGGCTTGGCCGACATGATGCCACGGGCCGACGACATTGCGATCTTGAGTCCATTTCGATCGCAAGTGAACTACCTCAAGCAGGTGCTGGTCCGTCATGAGGTAGGCATGGCAGTCGTCCTCTATGGACGGTGGGTAAATGGATGGCTGTGGTGGATTGGCCCATAGGTTTCGACCATCGATACGTACCAAGGCAAAGATCGCTGCATCGTATTTGTCTCGTTCGTTCGATCGAATGGCGATGGGATCGTCGGCGATCTGCTCCTGGACTGGCGTCGCATCAACGTGGCGCTCACGCGCGCCAAGGATAAACTCGTCCTCGTTGGGTCGCTCACCACGCTGCGCGCGTCGCCAGTCCTGCATGCGCTGCTCGACCTCGTGGACCAAGAAAACTGGCGAATCGACGTGCCGCCCGACTACACGGCGACCTTTCCGCCATTGCCGTCGGTCGCAACGTCGTCACAGACGGCCAGGAGACGAGCTGGCGAGGTAAGGTCGTATGTGGTGCAGCCTGCTACGACCGATATTGAGAACTTGGTCGGCGGCATCGTCCGCGCGTCAAAACATCCACCACGACCCATGAGCCATCGCGTCCACGTGTCCAGGAACATATTAGACGAGTGACAGTAACGAGTTTGTGCAGTGATAAAGTCTTCATGTCATATTGACGTCGCTGCAAGTTGGCTGGTATTGGCAGAAGCCGATGAAGATGTCTCGACGCGACGTCGCCCATTCCTCCCCATGCTCGTGCGTTGATCGCGGCGACAGTGTCCGCTGCGTTCCTAGACGCTAACCACAACGAGCGGGTGTCGAGGTTGAGATTGCCATACATGAGATATCCATCCACGAGGTCTAGCTAGTGCTGTAGCATTTGCACCATGCGAGAGACGGCTCGCCACGGTGGTTCGTCGGTTGCTTTCCGCGGCGCAATGCGCGCGTCCATGTGTACGGGTTCTCGCCGGCGTCGCTTTGGCAGTTCCGGGAGTGGTTGCATCAAGAGCGTCATGCGTACAACACATAGCGGTGCTATAATGCCATGGCCTGAACGAGCTTTGCATGCATGACGTGGTGCCGAGTTCGCGCAGGGCGACCCCCTGCGGCCACAGCGCGCCGCCTCTCGCGCATGCCCATGGTGAGCACGATCGAGCTAAAATTAGCGAGCACATTGACCGGGCAAATATCCGGTACATATGTATTCACCGGGTATTCGATCCAAATATCCTTGTGTACAAGGTATCAGATGCCGAAAATATCGTCCAAGTGGACCAATCAAACGACAGGATCGATGGGTTGGGTGGTCGTTTCACGGTGCGTGGCGCATTGTGGAATTGCGGTGGTCACGGCCCCGACGCGCCACCGACGCCCGCCGCATTTGTTTGCCAGCTAGACTTGCTTGATTTGCCCCATGAGCACGCCGGAAGCCGCGCTCAACACGCTCCGTAAGCTCGACGCGAACAAGGCGTGTGCGAACTGCGACACAGTCGCCAAGTTTGGCCATGGCAACATTTGCGAAAAGTTCAAAACGTTTGTGTGCAACCACTGCAAGAGCGCGCACCAGAGCTACAGCCATCGCGTCAAGGTAATCGTTCCGCCATCGATTGCCCGGATTGACGGACTGCATAGAGCGTGACCATGTCGAACTGGTCCAAGGAAGACGTCGACGCGTTGAAGGAAGAAAACGGCGGCGGGAATGCCGCGGCCCGACGCACGTGGCTTGCCACGTGGGAAGACGGCCGGTCCATGCGCAAGCCTCTCGAGACCGACCACCTCGATGTGTTCAAGAAGTTTATCAATGCAGTGTACAACGACAAGGCGTTCTACTCGGACGCAGCACCGCAACGATGCGCGCCGCGACAGCCCGCCAAGACGTCGCCGCCTCCCACAACGTCCTCGATTGCGTCCACAGGTACGCAGTCAGGACAAAAGCAGTCCGCGTTTCTCATGGAATCGGGTAGCTTCGACATCTGGAGACCTCTTGGGCTTCTCGCCTCCGTCGTCGTCATCATCGGCGCTGTCGTCGGCAGGAGCGTCGTTCGAAGCAACCTTTGATGCTTTCTCCGCCCCCGTCCCGCCAGTTGCCGGCGGATTCGCTCAATTCGATGCCTTCTCAGCGCCCGTCCAGCCCCCGGCGGCTCCTACCATCCCCAAGCATGACGAATGGTACATGGCGCACACTGCCACCGATGCCCAACCTCGCCACATTCATCATGCATTAGGTCTGCCTTCCAGTCAGCGACACCAACGTCGACAGCCATGACATTTGATCCTTTCGGTGCGACATCGCCGCTGCCGACGTTTTCGCCACCTGCCACGTCGTCGTTCGACCCGTTTGCGCCAGTGGCCACGACTAATGCACCTGCGCAACGACCTCCGTTCAACACACTTGGCCCGAGTAACGGGTTTGGTCCCCCCAGCACGACTTCCCAATCATTCCATCCTGGATTCCCTCAAGGAGCCGCGACAAACATCACATTCGGCAACGGCGGTGGAGCTAGCATCAGCGCACTGCTGGACCCGACCATGGTCGCCAACCCCCACTTGCAGCACCAACGTTCTTTCGGTGCGTACGGAGGTGTCCCGCCGCCGCAGCAGCCTTCGTACCAGCAACCCAACCAGTACCAGCAGCCGTATCAGCAAGGCGGCTCCCGGCCTCAGCCTGCCGCTGGTGTCCAGAGCAGTGGCGGTCGCGACCCGTTTGCTGGGCTTGCATTCAAGTAAAGCTTCCGAAGACTGGAATATCGTAGAGTCAACCATGATATGGGTGTTTTACAGCATAAGCATCGCCAGCGCTCGCTTCCACGGTTGAGGCGGCAGTGGGGGATCATCAAACCGTGGCATTGTTGCGAGCAGCAAAGGCGGCATGTAGTGCTGTTGGCTTGAAGCAATGCAAATAGATATTAATTGTGTGGGCGAGACGACTGACTCCGACGTGACCAAGCTAGCTACCTTTACTTGGATTTTTTGCAGCCGGCACGGCCTCGCCGAAGCCTGCAGCGGCGCTGTCTTGGATCGATTCTAACAGACACGTCAATGCAGGAGGTAGTCGGCGAGACGTACGGGGTCGGGGAGTTCGAGGAATGAACGTGTTGATGAGGTGGGATGACGCATGGCCAAACGCCGTGCGAAAGACGCGATAGCAAAACGACACGACCGGAATTGACTCGAGGACCGTGTTCAAGTCCCAGTGGTCCGTGTGCTTGATAATCTGCACAGAAGCGTTGGAGACGAGTGAAACTCGCGTCGAGTCATGAAGTACCTGGTGGTCTTGCAGCTCGAGCACGGAGAACATGCGAAACGTGCACCCGAGGTAGGATGGGAACGGCTTGAAGCGGAACGTGACATTGCTGCATGCATGTGGGGTGATTGGCGTCCAAGAAGTCGAGCGAATGTACCTGTCAATCGTCAACACCGTGACGCCGGCCATCGACCCACGGATCATTGCAGCGTGCGACTTGGCCACAACCGACGGAATTGCACGGAAATGCGCTGCGACGTTTTCTCGGCCGTGGACTGCCAGATCAATGCAAACGATATCAGCACGAGCTCGCGTTTGTTCAAGACATACCTTCAACCCAAGGGTCCGAGAACGATGCATCCGGGTGATACAGGTCTTGGACGATGGCGTCCGAATCGGTAGTTCGGTCATACATGGACAAGATCTTCATCGTCATCAGCTGGGCCATGCTCATCTCGGACTTGCCGTTGTTCTTTCGTCGCGACGTCACCGCAGTCGACATGCTTCGTGGGCGTTGTGCCGCTGAGAGAATGGACGTATCGACGCCGACTGAACGGAATCGAGACGTTGGCATGTAATTTAAAAAAGTCGTCGTGGAGAGATGGATAAATATTTTCAAGTTGCATTGCAGAGCACGTATCTAAACTATGCAAGATTCAACGTCATGGATATGCGGATTTTCTAATTTGAAACGGTGTATTTTAAATCCATGTCAACGTCCTCATTCAGGGTGTATCATCGACAGCACTGAGCATTTATAATTCAAGCATATAGGTAACAAGTTATAGACTACTAGTAGTTCGAAATGCTGCAAGACGGTTTGGTTTATGGCTGCTCGATGTCTACACGTGCAGATGCAGCGGACGTTCCCTTGGGTAGAGAGCACCAGCTCCATCCAGTGCCGGTTGGGAATGCGGAGGACCAACGCGAGAACGTCGACGTCAGCGAGGGTGGCGTACGTCTCGGATTTCGTTGCAATCCCAACGGTGGTTGATTTAAAATCACAACCAATCATTTTCATTCACACCTTGTATTGAGAATAAAAAAATTGTGTTTTAAAAAGCACAAGCAATATTTTAAATATATTTTAAATCTCACAATGTCCAGCAAGAGCATACGTAAACGTTTACGAACTCCATCCGACACAACGGACCACCCGCGAAAGTCGCGGCACAAGTGAACGCGACGCGGCAAACGCAAGCTTGGATGGACCAGCTCGTCTCCACTGTGCATAACTACAACTCCCTTCGAAGCTTTGAGCCCATGTGGGCAGCTTGGACGGCCGACGTGTCGTCATTTGACATTGCGTTCACGTACACCGCCGTGTGTTCATCGGTGGCACTGTTTGGCGGGTCGTTTGTGTACTTTTTGGTGGATTTCCAGCCATCACTGCGGAAATACAAGCTGCAGCCAACGCGACTCCCCACCCTAGGCCTGTACTGGAAGTGCTTGAAGTTGTCGCTCTTTAACCAAGTCGTGTTGCACGGTCCTGTCATGTTGTTGCTGCTGCATGTTTGGGGCGACTTGCCCACGTTTTCGGCGGCGCTTCCACTGCCGACCCCTTCGAGCATGTTGTGGCAACTTGTGCTCTTTGTCTTGGTCGAAGACTTCATCTTTTACTGGTGCCATCGGCTTTTGCACTGGAACAAGATTTATAAATACGTCCACAAAGGTTTGGCCTCCATGGTCCTCGTGGTTTCTCAAGTTTTTGCGTTTAGTTCATCACGAGTTTACCGCGCCGTTTGGCTTGACAGCAGTGTACACCCATCCCGTCGAGGAACTTGTGACGATGCTGGCGACGCTGGCAGGGCCGTTAGTGTGTGGCAGCCATGTCGTGTGCTTGTGGTTGTGGCTCGTCCTTCGCGTCGTCGAAACCATCGATTCCCACTCAGGGTACGACTTTCCTTTCACATGGGGCCACTTCGTGCCGGTGTTGAGTGGCCCTGCCCGCCACGACTACCACCACGAAAAATTTGATTGCAATTATGGGTCAACTCTCGCCTTCTGGGACTGGGTCTGTGGCACAGACAAGCAATTTCGAGCGCTGCAGCGGTCGAAAGCGGCCAAGGGCGACCGCGCGTGGCTCGATCTCTTTGACTGGGGCACGTCCGTTCGTGCAAAGGAGCTGTAGATGCTCCCGACGTGAGTGGATTGCTTGCTGAACAGAGAATATTCCATTTGTTTGACCTGGGTCAAGCGTGAAACTGGATACGGTCACTCATCTGCTGGCGCTGCGAATGGTGCTGACCCC